TAGGTGGAGGCTGATTGAAAGGGTTACCTCTTTTGTATAAATTCTTACTCTTGGGTTTACAAAGGGTAGAGGGAAAAACAAGGGAGGCTAGGGTTTCAGAGGTGATTTTTCTTTATTGTTTTATATTGAGGTTAACCTATACTCTGTAATCAATTAACCTTGGTGATTGAATGAAATTCTTCTTTGTCTTGGAGAGTTGATGTAGGCCTTGAGTGCTGAACCACTATATACAGTTGTGTCTCTTATTTTCATTGAAGTCTGTTTTAAATCCATTCTTCATTCTGTTGTAGTTGGTTGTTTATTCTCATCTAGATTTTAGATTACAATCTTAACAATTGGTATCAGAGCCAGGTTGGGGGCCTTTTTTAATCTAAAATCATGTCTACTAAATTTGAGTTGGAGAAATTTACAGGTACCAATGATTTTGGGCTTTGGAAAATGAAGATGGAGGCTGTATTGATAAAAGAAGGCTTGGCTTTGGCATTGAAAGATGAATCAGAGCTTCTAGTGTCCATGACAGCAGTTGAGAAGAAGGAGATGCTGCTATACTCTAGCTTCTCATTGTTTAATTTCAATTTGTTTAATGGACTATGGAAATGTGAGCTTCTCATTGTTTAATTTCAATTTGTTTAATGGATTATGGAAATATGAGTAGCAGCACTATTTTTTTTGTTATGGATTATATGAGGGAGGAGTTGAAGAATAAACAAGCCGAAGTGGAAAGGGACGCATGTCCATCTAATGTGGACGGCAGTCCCTTTGTGTTTATATGGACGGTTGTCCATATAATTTGAACAATCATCCACATTAAAGGGACGATCGTCCCTAGTATTTGGACTGGAGTCCATTGATTTTTTATTTATTTTTAAATATTTTTTATGAACCGTCGTCTATTCCTGAATGAATGACCATCCGAAAATGTTAGATGACCGTCCATTTATGGAAGTCTTCTATCATCCTAAGTGGCGGCGTTTAAGTCATGTGTCACGTATTTTGATACAAATTTTCGGTACCAACTTTTGGTGTACATAACATTTTTGTTTCGGGACACGTATGGATGACCTTATCTTTAAGTTCTTTGTCCATATCTTTCCATAACTTATGTTCATCTTCAGTCATATTAAACTGAAGGTACCCGAGAGCCCAAACTAATTCGCTATTTTGAAAAGAGATACATACAAGGGGTGTCTCCGATTCTTCCTTGGTGTTCCTGAAAAATTTTGGAATTTTTTTTCAATGTCTTCTACCGTAGGTATCTGACAGAAAAACATAAAAGATTTGTTTGGAATTGGCCGAAGAAAATCTATGACAGGTTTCTTTTGGGTTGGCTATGGGAAAGCCGTATCAGCTCTGAAATGCAGGTTAGAAAAAACTATTCAGCGGAAGCGTGTAAGAAACTGAGAGATTCCCTACAAGAAGCCTGGTTATATCTTTTATCTTATCAAGAGTCGTGTAACCGAATAACTTTAGACAGAGATTCCCTTACAGCGGTGGTGGGTCAGAAGTAATTTTATTCCCATCAAGCTGGCATTATAGAATTTTAAACCGAGAGAACATCTTTTTCTTTCTTTCTGTACCAAATTGAGTCCAAAGGAGGGAGAAGACGATGCTTGGTTTTCCGAGAATCATCAAGACGTTCATCATAAGGGTCCTGGACCTCTACACAGAGCAGATGAAACCCCTTCCACGCCAGCCGATTTCTCATTACATATCTGTAGATTTGCTTCCAAGCCTAGATTTTCAAGTTAAGCTATCAAAGGTTATTTTGTGGCTATGCTTGGCATTCATTTCGGCTCTAATGTTACAAGATGGAGAATATTACAAAGACAGAAACTCAGTTTCTTATAAGTTGTTTGTTGCCTTTATGATTTGCATCATTTTCTCTTTCACTGGGGCATTTTGCGCTTTGCTGATCAGAAACAAGCCCAAGCTTGCAGTTCTCCGCAGATGTTATTTCTTGCTCTCCTTTGTTTCGTTGGCATCAGCTTTATCAATAGTATGAATAGGATAGTGAAAAGTGTTCGGTGTTTCCACCTTTGCGGCCAGGTCAAAGGAGAGTGACTTATTTATTGTTTATCCTAAAGCAGGATTAATTAATCATAAGTATGTCATTTTGTGTCCAATGAAAATAGGTCTAGCAAAAGGTAAACGTGCCTTGCTACGCCGGCTCTTCGTCCCAACCACTCAAAAAAATGTCATGTTCTTTTTTGTAGTGTGACTCAAACGGTTGTTTGGTTGCCGAGAAACTCAAAGGAAATGAGAGAAAGTTAAATAAATGTGTAGAGATTTCCAAAGAAAATTCGAATTGAGAATAGGGAGAAAAGGGATGCTTGAGAGAGAAACATGGGTCCTGCATTTTATATGACAATTTAAATTTTGGAACATGAAATTATTTATTTTTTTTAAAAGGAAATAAAAACTTTCATTCTAAATGAAGATTTCTAATACAAAATTGCAAATAATAATGATAATAATAATAAAAAATTGGTATAGTTAAGACAAACAAAATAAGCAGTACAACATTGAAATGAAGTAAGTTTGCAAACAAACATGTCAACCGTGTTTTAATTTTTCTTTTTTCCCCGCTATTTTAAATTAAAAAAAAATGGTAAAAGATTAGGGGTGTAAACGAGCTGAGCCGAGCCAAGCTTTTGGCTTATCGAGCTCGGCTCGTTTACAACAGTGTCGAGCTCAAGCCTAGCGAGCCTCAAAATTGAGACTCGAGCCAGCTTGCGAGCCGAACTCGTGAGCCTTATCGAGCTCGAGCTCGAGCCGGCTTGTGAGCCGAACTCGTGAGCCTTATCGAGCTCGAGCTCGAGCCGGCTTGCGAGCCGAACTCGCCTTATGTTTTACCAGAAAGCACATACCCAATTTTACTAAAACTCAGTTGAGAGAAAAAAATTGAAGACCAACTTAACTCAAGACAAAACAAAAGACAAATAATTGCTATAATCCAATTAAAAATTCTCAAATTCCACCCTAGTTTAAAAATCCCACACAAATTTCATCAAACAAAACTCATAAAACAAAAGAACCAATCTTCCATCTTCCTTGCAGAAACCAAAGATCAAATATCACCTGCACGTCGAGAAAAGTCAACACATCAATTATGACAAAAAGAAAACCTTAAATTCGTATTTATTATCATCGAAAAAAACCCAAACAAAGAAAAATTAGTCTAAAAAGTCCAAGCGCAAATTGAACAAGCCGAAAATAGTAAGTAGTCAAAAAAGAAGACAACAATCGAAAATTTGATAAGCAGCGAACGAAGAAAATAGAATCCACTTAGAGTAGAATCAATGCGAACTTACCGAGGTGGAGAAATTATTAGAACCAAAACCCTAAAAGACGAACAAAGACGAAACGAAAAGAAAGTGAGAGAAGATATAGGGAACTCATGTTATTTCAAATTTGCAGTTTGGGGGGGAAACTATCATTTTTTAAAACTTTTTTCATTAGAAAATATCAGTTTAATGCTTAATAGTTTAAAAAATACCAAAACATCCTATGAAGTGTACAGTGCTTAATCGAGCCGAGCCAAGCTTGCGAGCCCACGAGCCAAGCTTCACTGTGTTCGAACTCGACTCGGTTAACGAACCGAGTTCGAGTCGAGTCGAACCGAGCCTTATCGAGTTGAGCTCTAAACGAGCTTTTACGACTCAGCTCGGCTCGTTTACAGTCCTATAAAAGATGAGTAATCGAACTTGGGACTTGGGTTGAAGCCATGTGTGGTCCCCTTAATTTGCGTTTATCGGGGACTACCCATGGGTGGGTCAAATTTTCAACCACCAAATGTGATTATCATCGTCATCATTCACCACAAACTAGGGGTGTTCAAAAAAATGCAAAAACCGAACCGAACCGAAAAAACGGTTTGGTTACGGTTTGAAAAATTCAAAAAACCGAATTTTCGGTTCGGTTATCGGTTCGGGCAAAATTAGAAACGGTTAACCGAAAACCGGTTTTCTAAACCGGTTTTTCAAATATATATATATATTAAATAAATAAATAATAACCTAAACTAAAATAAATCCCTAATTCACTCAATCTAAAATCCCAACCCAAATTTTTTTTCTTAGTTTCCAATGTATTGTTATAAAAAAAAAAGGGAAAACCGGTTAACCGCTTTTTTTAAAACGGTTAACCGAAAAACCGGTTTTCCCTAAAACCGGTTCGGTTTCGGTTCGGAAATTTTTCCGAACCGAAAATCCGGTTCGGTTTAGAAAAGCGATTAACCGGTTCGGTTTAGAAAAGCGGTTAACCGGTTCGGTTAACCGCTTTTGAACACCCCTACCACAGACAATGAAAACTCCACTCACTTCAACTCCTCCATCTTTTACCCAAGAACTGAATTATATCATAATTGTTTTTTTTTTTTTTAAAGGTCAATTAGGTTTTAAATACTAATTTCACTATAAATTATTATTTTCTTGTACTAAAGACAATAAATTTTCATCCTAAACATTGGCTTTAATCAAACTGTTAAAACCTAGATTATCGAGTTTAGTATAGTTTAGTAATATATTTTAATGAATATATCCTTTAATTAACTGTTTCATCTAGAACATAATTGATAAGTCACTTGATTTTTACAGCTATTTATGTTCTTTAAATAAAACTCTTAAGATTTCAGGAGACTTTAATATATATATCCAAACGTCTTAAAAATTTGTTAAATGAAATAAGTACTTTGCCTTGAAGAATATAATGAATTTCTCCTACTCAACATATTTTCATAATTCGAGAAATAAATCCGGATAAAAATATAATTTTAGTATTATCAATTAATATTTGATTGAATGTAAAATTCTATTAAATTTAAAAATCTACTCACCAAATCAATTTTCTCATCAATTTTTTTTAAAAAAAAATAATTTCCATGTGGTGAGCCCATATTTTAAAAAATATTTGCATAAACAACAATAATTTTAGTGATCAATGGCAAACATGCAATTCTATCAGATAACATATAAATATCTTAAAAAAGAATTAAAGCTAGAATATCCAAAATTATCACACCATGTTTTCCACAAAACCCCGTAAACCGTTAATAACTTAATACTATTCACTTTCGTCTTTTCCTCTAAGACCATGCCTATAGCTCTCAATCATACATACCATCATTGCCCTTATCCTCAAAGGATCCTCTCGCTTATCGCTGTTTCCATGTGTAGCCAACAATGGCTGGCACAATTATAACCCAGAACAGTGGAATGAGCCAAACCACCATCTTCGGGTTGTGGAACTGGAGCCCACCCGCCGTCACAACAGCAAGCCCTGTCGCAACATAGCTAACTGCATTTACAACCCTTGCAACCATCCTGCGTCGTCCTCTACCGTCACCGTCAGATAGACATAAACCATAGCACAAAGAAATAATGCCGACAATAATGCAAACTACGAGAGAATCCCAAAAGAATTTTTCTATGGTTGTCATTCCATCTGCACTCCTCTTGTCCCATTTTACTGCTAAAACAAATGAAACGCATTCACATATGAACGTGAAAATAGTCTCAAATTGACGTCTATGCGGCGCAGGCTCACCACCAACATCCTGAGTGGAGGACGGTCCAGCCTCGATATCAGATGATTCTGATGCATAATTAACAGTTTGGTTCATAGCACCGTTAACTTGCACGTTACGGACCCGGTGATCACCACCAACAGGGAGACTCCGATGATTAGGCGGTGGTTCATTTTGTGGAGTCGAGGAGCTCCCTCCGGTCTCAGGATTTGTATGCTCAGCATGCTCATCATCTGCTTGAGTGGAGGACGTTCCAGCTTCCATATCAGAGGATTCTGGTGCATAATTAACAGTCGAGGGGCCCCCTCCAATCTGAAGCTCTTGAGATGCTGGAGAAAGAGGTTTTTTTTGTCAGGGGACAGATGGGAATTACAATAGCAAAAAAAAAAAAAAAAAAAGAAAGAAAGAAAGAAATTAATAAAAACAATAAACATTGATATTGAATCATCACTCCAATAGTTACAGAAACAGCACAAATAACCCTGGACAGTAGCCATGTCAAGTGGGATATATCATATATAGATCAAACGAACGATGAACGGGTATATATATATAAATATATAATTTAGGTATCTATCGATTCCAATAGTATTGAATCATCACTCCAATAGTTACAGAAACAACACAGATAACCCTGGACAGTAGCTATGTCAAATGGGATTATATCATATATAGATCAAATGAACGATGAACGGGTATATGAAAATTATATTTTATTTTTCTTAATATAAAATTCATGTGAAATATTAAAAGAAATAAAAAAATTAGCGGGATAATATGGTGTTGAATGTGGATTGCATTATGATGATTATCATTTGTTTAGTTATTGAATGTATGAGAACATCAATTGAACGAAAAATAATGAATTAATTCAATCATACAAATTGAATTGAATCAAGAATCATAATCTCAGATTTCGAAAAAGAAGAAGAAAAATTGTGTAAAATCAACTAAGTAAATATAAAGAAGCAATCTGACCTCAGCCTTTCGGGAATAATCTCGAAATAGCTTACTTACCAGGTGAAGCAGCCTTAGCCTTTCCCTCACGAGCTTCAGATCTCAGCCTTCGAACAACCTCAGCCTTGTCGGGAATAATTTGGATGAGCACAGCTTTAAGTTTTTCGGGCATATCTTTCCATAAATTATATTCACCTTCAGTCATATTAAACTTGTGCCTGCCATTTGATTAAAGCTTTAGGGAGCATAATTTTATGTTTCAGAGCACGAACGAATTTCGGACTTTGGTCAATGATACATACCCGTTTTCGTTCACTACTGCCTGAAATGATTGTTCCACAAGTGGATCTTCAGATGATGAACAAATAAGATGTTTCAAGTTGAACAACATTTTTTCCATCACTCGCTGATGCTCATTCTCATACCTGCCATTTGAATATGAGGCAACAGAAGATACCTCAGAGCCCAAACTAATTCACTATTTTGAAAAGAGATACATACCAGCGGTTTGTCCGATTCTTCCATGGTTGATAAGGAACAGAGAACGGGATGCCCCCCCAAGATTCTTCAGTTTTTTCAAGACGTAGCATCCTCTCCCAACCTAGACCTGAACAAGTTTCCGATGGGAAAAGCGTAAAAGATTTGTTTGGAATTGGCGGAAGAAAAATTTATCAGATTTGAAATGCAGGTTAGGCAGAAACTATTCAGCAGAACTAAAATAATAAATTAATTCAGTCATACAAATTGAACTGAATCGAGAATTATAATCTCAAATTTTGAAAAAGAAGAAGAAAAATTGTGTAAAATCAACTAATGTGAAATATATTAATTTGAGTGAAAGATAGAATGAAATGATTTAAAAGAATTTACAGAAAAATGTTCACATAATAAACCTAAATTTTGGTTATAAAGACATCAACTAATTAATATAAATTAAGGAAAGAATAATATTGTTAACAGCTACTTATGATTATGAAAAGAATGAACTTGAAGAAATAGCCTACTTACTCAAACTAGCCTCTTCCTCAAGTGTCAGCGGTTCTCCAGTCTTTTCAGAAGGTAGCATCTCTTCACAATGACGTAGAATCTCTTCCCAATCTTCACTCGTAATTAGTGAAGTCTTAGATGGGGAAAGCCTGCCATTTGATTAAAGCTTTAGCGAGCATAATTTTATGTTTCAGAGCAAGAAACGAATTTCAGACTTTGGTCAAGGATACTTACTCGTTTTCGTTCACTACTGCCTGACATGATTGTTCCACAAGTGGATCTCCAGACAACATCTCCTGATTTAATTCAGAAAACGCTTACGAAAGGAATTCTAAGGTTAACTTATTCAGATCTTCACTCACAGTTAGTGAAGTTTCGGATGGGTAAAGCAAAAAAGGTTCGTCTGGAATTGGCCGAAGAAAATCTATGACAGGTTTCTTTTGGGTTGACAGGTTTCAGTCATAAAAGGTTCTTTTGGATGGCGAAAGCCGTACTAGGATTGAAATGCAGCTTAACTAAACAGACTGATGAAGCAGAAGCGCGTGAGAAAACTATGGTCAAATCCAAAACATAAGCGCGTGAGGTGGGTGAGAAGTTATGTAATTTTTAATATTTTTTAGTTAAAACTTTTTTCACATGGAGCAAGAGCATACAAAGCTTTTACATAGTTTTTTGGGACCCTGAGTTAACCCAAAACTCTTATTGATTGTTTATTTTCTCTTATTGATGTTAGGAGTAATATAATGTCCATAATTTATCTAATATGTTCAGAGTCAATTACTTAATATCGTTAATAAGAATAAAATCTATACGATCACAACAATATGTGTATAGGCTGTAAAAAATTTATTATCTCTCCAAATTAATCGTATTTTCATTTCAACAATTTAGAATATATTGTTATGATATGTTATTAGGCAATAGTCTAGTAGAAATCTTTAAGTGTAAAACATTCAAGTTGTTTCACCGTTGCTTTAAAATGACGTTAATAAACTTAAAAACAAAATTTTATCACTATTTAATTACTTTAATCGCATTGAGCCGACATTGTAGACCTCAGAGAACATCATAAGCGTGTAAGGTGGGTGAGAGGTTAGGTAATTTTTAATATTTTTTAGTTGAAACTTTTTTCTGAGAGCAAGAGCATACAAAGCTTTTACATAATTTTTTTGAACCCAAGTTAACCCAAAAAGAGTTTTATGCTTTCCCCATCCAAGACTTCACTAACAATTATGATAAATTTTTAAAATTTGTGAGCGTAAAAATTTCATGAAACCATATTTAGGTGAGGAAAGTCGTTATGACAATAATTGACTCTTTTATGACAATTGTACGTAAATCACGGTATAACTTTATCTAAAGTGAAAAAGTAATTAATAATTAATTTTAGGACAATAATTGACTATTTTATGAAAATTATGACCGCCATGTTTTGTTTAAACGCAGACAAACAAGTGAAATGTTTTCAAAAAAGTTTCAACTGAAAAATATTAAAAATTACCTAACTTCTCGCCTACCTCACGCTCTTATATTTTGGATTTGACCATGGTTTTCACACGCGCTTCTGCTTCTGCCTCACAGTCTGTTTGGTTAAGCTGTCTTCCAAACCTAATACGGCTTTCGCCATCCAAAAGAACCTTTCATGACTGAAACCTGTCAACCCAAAAGAAACCTGTCAACCCAAAAGAAACCTGTCATAGATTTTCTTCGGCCAATTCCAGACGAACTTTTTATGTTTTCCCCATCCGAAACTTCACTAACTATGAGTGAAGATCAGGAGATGTTATCTATTGAAATTGATGAGCTCCTTTTGCTACGGATTAAAAGACGGTTTTCTGAATTAAATCAGGAGATGTTATCCGTAGATCCACCTGAGGAACAATCATTTCAGGCAGTAGAGAATGAAAATGGGTATGTATCCTTGACCAAAGCCTGAAATTCGTTCGTGCTCTGAAACATAAAATTCTGCTAACCAAAATTTTAATCATATGGCAGGCACACGTTTAATTTGACTGAAACTGGACATTTTTCATGGGAAGCTCTATCATCGCCTGCACGTGAGGGAAAGGCTAACGCTGGTTCACCTGGTAAGTAAGCAATTTCTTCAAGTTCATTCTTTTCATAATCATAAGTAGCTGTTTACTTAAATTTATGTTAACTAGTTGATCTCTTTGTAACTAAATTTAGGTGTATTATGTGAACCATTTTCTGTAAATTCTTTTAAATCATTTCATTCTATCCTTGAGTCAGATTGCTTCTTTATATTTAGTTAGTTGATTTTACGCAATTTTTCTTCTTCTTTTTCGAAATTTGAGATTATGATTCTTGATTCAATTCAATTTGTATCATTGAATTAATTTATTATTTTAGTTCTGCAGAATAGTTTCTGCCTAACCTGCATTTCAAATCTGATAAATTTTTCTTCTGCCAATTCCAGACGAATCTTTTACGCTTTTCCTATCGAAAACTTCAGTAACTGTGAGTGAAGATCAGGACGAGATGGGACATATTCAATCATGTCAGCCGGTAGTGAACGAAAACGGGTATGTATCCTTGACCAAAGTCTGAAATCCGTTTGTGCTCTGAAACATAAAATTCTGCTCCCTAAACCTTTAATCAAATGGCAGGCACAAGTTTAATATGACTGAAGGTGAATATAATTTATGGAAAGATGTGCTCATCCAAATTATTTCCGAAGAGGCTGAGGTTGTCAGAAGGCAGAGATCTGAAGCTCGTGAGGGAAAGGCTAAGGCTGCTTCACCTGGTAAGTAAGCTATTTCTTTTTAGTTCATTCTTTCGACATGGCTACTGTTATCTGTATGTTTTTGTAACTATTGGAGTGATGAGTTCAATACTGACTAGAAATCTATAGATACCTACTTTAAATTTGGCCTTCTTATATATATATATATATATATATATATATTAATGAATCCAACGTGCTACGAATCAATGTTTATTGTTTTTATTAATTTCTTTCCTTTTTTTCTTTTTTACTACTGTAATTCCCATCTGTCCACTGACCCAAAGAAACCTCTTTCTTCAGCATCTCAAGAGCTTAAGACCGAAGGGCGCTCCTCGACTGGTAATTATGCAAGAGAGTCAACTGATTTGGAATCTGGATCGTCCTCCACTCAGGCTGGTGATGTGCCTGCAGAGCGTACAAATCTTGAGACCCAAGGGGGCTCCTCGACTGCACAAAACGAACCACTGCCTAATCATCAGGGTCTCCCTGGTGGTTGTGATCATACCTTTGGTGGTGGTGATCACCAGGTCCATAAGCCGCAAGTGAACATGTTCTATCAATGGTGGAATGAACTTAAAGATGTGCTCATCCCGATGTGTCCCAGAATGGCTAAGGTTCTCGGAAGGCTGAGATCTAAACTACCTGAGGAAAAGGCTAAGGCTGGTTCACCTGGTAAGTAAGCCAACTTTTGATGAAGTTTTCTTATATCATCAAGGTCTGCATAATTTTCATGCACCCATCCATCGTTTGTTTGATCTATACATGAATATGAGATTATGATTCTTGATTCAATTCAATTTGTATCATTGAATTAATTTATTATATTGAGTTCAATTAATGTCCTCATACATTCATTTTTTTCATACTAAGACCTCCCTCCAGGCCAAGATCTTCAGGATACGGTATCAAAGGTTAATTTGTGGACAAGTTTGGCATTCATTTCGGCTCCAATTTTTCTAGATCGAGAATATTACAAAGACAGAAACTCAGATTCTTATAAGTTGTTTGATGCCTTTATGATTTGCATCATTTTGTCTTTCACTGGGGCATTTTGCGCTTTGCTGATCAGAAACAAGCCCAAGCTTGCAGTTCTCCGAGGATGTTATTTCTTGCTCTCCATTGTTTCAATGGCATCAGCTTTATCAATACTGGGATATGCCTTGTTCTGGAAAGTTTAGTTTGTGGTAAACTTAACACTACTGTTTTCTTATGTGTAATCATTAGTTTATTAAAACAACTTGTGAGGTGCTATATCACTACTATTTTCCTTCTCTTGTTGGATGCTATTTGCTTGTTAAATTACCTAAGTTTTTTTAAGATGTTATTTCCTATTATTATACATATGTTAAATTTCTTTTTCAGTTTATGGGTTTTTGTGGGTTTTTAAACGAATAGATCAGAAAAAAATTCTTATGATACCAAATACTTAAAACGAATGTTACAGCTTTACTCTTTTATGATACCAGATACTTAAAAAGGAGTAGAACTGAAAATTGCTCAAACCATGTTATCTATGTTATGAACTCTGTATTGGAGTCGCCTAAGACCAGGAGGCTTCAGCCATCATGAACCCTTCATGAAGTACCATGGTTTAATTTCCGATACTTTGCAAGGTTTTCTAGTCTTGTGAGATAATTTTGTGCAGCAAACACTACTGATCTCATCTGCCACGGCCAGACATAAATGATGCGTGGAAAATATCTGTATTGGGAACATCAGTCTTTCTCTGCTTCAAGTTCCTTTCTCCTCTACTCTGCTTTTAAGCTTTCGTTTCTTCATCTGCAAAAGCAAAACCTCCCAATCGCAATATGTAAATATAGAAATTCTGAGTGTGTTAATATCAAATTTGTTACTGGAATCATGTCAAGGTTTGGTTCTTATAATCAACGATGAAAGTTTTAAACGTGGAATTAAGATTACTTGTTTAGGTTGTGTCTAATATCAAATTATACACAATATGTGATGTATAATAAGGAAGAAGAAGAGGAATGGAAGAGACTAGCGAAGAATCGTGATATTATTGGAATGGATAAGTGGATTCAAATGATGAAGCTTCGACAAGAGATGCGCCGAGGTTTTCATCATAGAGTTATAAAACTCCTCATGGGTTTAATATTACTTATAAACTTTTACCTTATGCTCCAAAGATCTTTATGTTTCATTGTTTCACATATGCGTTAATAAGAGACAAAATCGACCTTTTTTTTTCCTCCTGTTTATATATATTCAAAAAGAAAAAAAAGCAACAGCAAAAGAAAAAATTAAAAAGAGCAAGAAATTAAGCCCTGAAGTCTGTCAAAGCAAAAAAGAAAAAAGAAAAAAAAAAGTTGGGCCTTCCAGTCTTCCAGATAATATATTAAAGACTCTTGCTGCAGCTCCAGGTTTACGGCAGTAGCTACATATTTCAGGTGTCTGAAAATTAATGAGAAAAAGATTTACTTTTTGGTTTTTCAAAACTTTTAAATGGTAGCCTCCGGTTGTTATCACTACTGTAACTATAATGATTGAAGCATAATATAAGGAAGTTAAATTCCATCTTCTTGAGTTCCGCAACTCTAAGTCCTTTATCTTTCTGTAAGTTTTTTGGCAAAAACCCCAAAATCCTAAATAAAAACAACGGAAATTCTTAACACTAATATGAAGTTTGTAACTGGAATTACAGTGAGCATATCATGTTAAAGTGCAGCAAATTAAATACTTATTGATAAACTCCAACAAATAAAACAAATGTCTGAATACAGAAAAATTGGAGTTTACCAGCGAGTTTCCAACCGTTGGCGACTGGACAGAGAGTGAATGGCATATGGAAGCAGAACGGCGGGGTGCAGAGGAGAGAGGTAGAAGGATTGTAAAATGGGATATCATAAACTAGAGGTGGGAATTAGGCCGGACCCATAAAACCCAGTCCAAAAAATCGATCTTAGGATCGGACCAGGCCCAAGGGAGGAGGGCTCGAGCCCAAACCCTCTCCCCAATTTTCTTTTAACTGATGTAAAATATCTAAAACCCACTATTTAATATGAATACAATAAATGTAAGGGATTAAAAAAATTATACAAAAAAATTGTCTATGACCGGTTCAGGCCATGAGAAATCTCATGGGCTCAAAACTGGTCCCTGATTATTTGAGCCTAGATCTTGAGGCCCCAGGCCCACAACGGACTGAGCCCGAGCCTTTCTCACCTCTATCATAAACTACCCCTAAGGTATGCATTTGTGATAATATTCCATTGTAAAATACCTGGAGTCTACAATGTTTAACTACTTGAAAAGAAAGAAAAATAAATAATATTAAAAAATTTCAGTTTTAAATTTAATGTCAACTCGTGAGTTTGTAATATGTGACAAGTTTGTATTGGATGGTCTCACTACATCGTTATTTTATAATTAGATTGTCCTATACAATTTTCCCTTTATATATATTATGCTATGAAACAATTATAGAATATTAAGTCCACACTATTTTTTTGTAATTATATATCTAATTAAAAGTGAAAATATTAACTACACTAAATATTAAATTTAATAATAACTTAATAAAATTATTTATTGTCCATCGTGGGCCTCAGATTTTCCTTTAGAATTTGTAGAATTTTGGGCTTTTTATTATGTAAGAGATAGTCCATTGCAATTTCGGCCTGATTCAGGGGCCCATAATCCAGAACTTTGGCCTCCCAGAGACAGATAATCACTTGAGGCAGGAATGTCATGTTCTTTTTTGTAGCGTGATTCAACTGGTTGTTTGGTTGCCGAGAAACTAAAAGAAAACGAGAGAAAATTAAATAAATGTGTAGAGATTTACAAAGAAATTTTGAATTGAGAATGGTGATGTTGGAGAGGGAAACATGGGTCCTGCATTTTACATAAGAAGTTTAAAATTTGGAATATAAAATTATTATTATTATTTTCTTTTTCTTAAAATAAAAACTTCCATTCTAAATGAAGATTTTTAACACAAAATTGCAAAAAAAAAAAAAAAAAAAAAAAAAAAAAAAAAAAAAAAAAAAAAAAAAAAAAAAAAAAAAAAAAAAAAAAAAAAAGGTATAGTTAAGACAAACAAAATAAGTATTACTTTGAAATGAAATAAATTTGCAAACAAACATGTCAACCACAATTTCATTTTCTCTTTTCTCGACCATTTTAAATATTTTTAAGAAAAAAAAAAAAATGGATACAGAGAGTTTATAAAAGAACACACCCCAGGATTCTAAGCATTTCCTAAAGTGGGTAGAATGTGATAGAAAGTTTTATTTTTCTCAGTAGGAGGAAATATTTTTGTGTGTTTGCTAACTTCATCTTAATTATCCTGCTCTTCTATGTGAAATGGGTCTCCTCTTCTCATAGCAGCCTATTTCTTGATTTTATAAAATTTTCTTCATAAAAAGTGACAAATGAACAAGATAATTTCACAAGTTTGGATAGTTATAATTGCGTCCAAATGAACAAGGGTTTGCATATTTCTAGCAATGAATTGCATGTGGTTCTGCTTCTTCATTCTTAGGCTGAAAGATTGCCTCTATTGTCTCAACAATGGAATCGTACAATTATAAACCAATCATACTTGAATTTAGCATAAGGATTGGTAGAGCTGGCGAACACTTCAACAATAGAGATTGTAGCTCGAGATTGCAGCTCAATGGGCGAATTATCTAGTATTTGGTTTCTTGTTTAGCGTGATTCAACCTGTTGTTTGGTTATCGAGAAACTATTAGAAAATTAATGAGAGAAAATTGAATATATGTAGAGATTTAAAGAGAAAATTAGAGATGAACAAAATTCCAGGAATTTCTTAAAGTGAGTAGAATGTATATTTTTCTCAGTTGGAGAAAATAGTTTTGCGTGTTTGCGGAATTGATCATCTTCGCTTTCTCTTATATGTGAAATGGATCTTCTCTTCTCATTGCAGCTTTTTCCTGGATTATTTTTACAATTATTATCATTAATTTATGACTTATTAATTCATTATTCAGAAGCCCTTCTGCCTCACTGACACCTCTCATCTATATATAAAGAAGAGTTAACAACTTTTTTCCACCCAAACTAGGGTCTAATTGACACTTTTGAACCGAAAAGGTTTCAAAAATAATTTACCAACCAAAGTTTATATTCTGTTAATACCCAAAATATGATAAGGAAATTTAATAATTTGCATGTTTGGGTTGTCCTAGTCTTTAGGAGTGTTAGTAAGTTTGTTTCTGTTTACCTAGTCAATAGGAGTTTGTTTTTTAACGTTGGATAGTGCCTATTTTCATGTTGCTTTCAGTTATGTATTAGCCTATTTATAGGCTGGTGTTTATCAATGAAATGTAGAAAAAGTTTATCCTCTGCTTTGTCTATATCCTCTGCTTCCAACTGTTATTGTGTAAATCCGTCCTTTAGTATTTTGTTTCCATCAGTGGTATCAGAGCCAGGTTGAGTTCCAAGGAGAGATAAAAGTGAAATTGATGGCTTCCGAAAGTTTTGTATAGGCAACCATTCCAGGCTTTGATGGTCACTATGATCATTGGAGCATGCTCATGGAGAACTTCTTGAGGTCCAAAGAATATTGGACCGTTGTTGTTTCTGGAGTAGTAGAACCAGTAGCAGGTGTTGTGCTGACAGATGCGCAAAAGACAGAGCTTGAAGGGCTGAAGTTAAAGGATCTTAAAGCAAAGAATTATCTCTTCCAAGCTATTGATTGCTCAATCTTAGAAACCATTCTTTGCAAAGACACAGCCAAGCATATTTGGGATTCGATGAAAAAGAAGTACCAAGGTACAGCAAGAGCTAAGAGGCAGCAGCTTCAAGCACTTTGTTCGGAGTTCGAAATACTTCGAATGAAGTCAGGAGAATCAGTTATAGACTATTTTTCAAGAACGATGGCAATCGTTAACAAGATGCGGATCCATGGCGACAAGATAGAGGATGTTCTCATTGTTGAGAAGATTCTTCGATCCTTGACACCAAAATTTAATTTTGTTGTCTGTGCTATAGAAGAAGCAAATGATGTTGATTCACTGTCAATTGATGAATTACAAAGTTCTTTGTTGGTTCATGAGCAAAAAATTAACCAGTAGGAAAAAGAAGAACAAGCATTGAAGGCCTTATAAAAAAATCACTTTACAACCAGTAGAGCTGATAAAGGACGAGGAAGAGGCAGAGGACGAGGTAAAGGAGGTAGAAACAACAATGATCGTGGGAACCAACAACAAAATCATCATCATCAAGAGAGTCAATTTCAAGGAAGAGGCAGAGGACATGGAGGCCACCATTCAACAACTTATAGATCAAAGTCAACAAACAAGTCCAATGTGGAATGTTTTAGATGTCATAGGTATGGCCATTATAAATCAGAGTGTCAAACTGATTTGAATAAACAAAGTGGAGATCAAACTAACTTTGCAGAAAAGGAAGAAGAGGTGTCTCTTTTGATGGTGTGTCATGTGAAGGAAGAAACTCAACAAAACATGTGGTATTTAGACACTGGCTGAAGCAACCACATGTGTGGAGAGAAGGAGGCATTTTCTGACTTGGATGAATCCTTTCGCATCTCTATTAAGTTTGGTGACAACTCCAAAATTTCTGTTATGGGAAAAGGAAAGGTAACAATCCAAACCAAAGGAAATTCCACCCACACTATCGCTAATGTTCTTTTTGTGCCATATTTAAAGACCAACTTGCTTAGTGTGGGTCAGTTACAAGAAAAAGGATATGAGATTTTTATCAAAGATGGAGTATTTTAAATTGAAGACGCAAAATTGGGCTTAATTGCTCAAGTTAACATGACGGTGAATCGTATGTTCCCACTTTATCTCCACAACACCGCTTATTCGTGCTTCTTAGCAAAATTAGAAGATGAGGCTTGGCTATGACACTTTCGCTATGGGCATCTGAATTTTGGCGGATTGAAAACACTACAACAAAAGAACATGGTGATAGGGCTTCCTCAAATTACAGCTTTTTCTCAAGTTTGTGAAGAATGTGTTGTTAGCAAACAACACCGTAATCAAATCCCACAAGGAAAATCTTAGAGGGCGAAGAAGGCGTTGGAGCTTGTTCATTCCGATATTTGTGGGCCAATAAAACCACATTCTAATAGAGGTAAAAGATATTTAATTTCCTTCATTGATGATTATAGTTGTAAGACATGGGTTTATTTTTTGCAAGAAAAATCTGAAGCCTTTGTAGCTTTTAAAAGCTATAAAGTGCTTGTTGAGAAAGAAGTTGGCAACCCAATAAAAGTTCTTCGCACGGATCATGGTAGAGAATATAACTCACATGAATTTGCAATTTTTTGTGAGAACCATGGAATCAAGAGACAACTTACAGCAGCTTATATACCCCAACAGAATGGTGTATGCGAAAGGAATAACCGCACTATTATGAATATGGTGCGAAGCCTTTTGCCAACAAGTGGCATTCCAAAAAATTTCTAGCCTGACGCAGTTAATTGGAGCATCCATATATTGAACAGAAGTCCCACACTTGCTGTTCAAAATATGACACCAGAGGAAGCATGGAGCGGAAGGAAACTTGCTGTAGATCATTTTTGGATTTTTGGGTGTATTGCCTATGTCCATATTCCAGATGAGAAGAGGAGGAAGCTAGATAACAAGGGAGAAAAATGCATTTTTCTTGGTGTTAGTGATAAGTCAAAAGCCTATAAACTATACAATCCTAGCTAGCACCATGAAAATTGTCATCAGCCGTGATGTGGTATTTGATGAAAAATGCACCTGGTCGTGGAATCAAAATGGTGTTAAAGAAAGCATTCCAGTAGATTTTGATGATGAGGAGAAAGGGTAGTAGCCTATGGAGAATGAGCAAGAAGAGAAAGTCACTCAAAATGTTCCAATAGCTTATCAAAGCCCACTTGCAGCTGAATCACAAAGGCCTCAACGTGTTCGAAGAAGACCAACATGGATGACTAATTATGAGGTAACTGGAGTTGACCAAGGTGATGATCCACTTACACATTTTGCTCTATTTTCAGATTGTGATCCTACCATTTTTGAAGTGGCTGTCAAAGAACCAAAACGGAGAAAGGCTTTGGATGCTAAAATTACAGCCATTGAAAAAAATGATACATGGGAGCTATGTGATCTTCCAAAAGGGCAGAAGACAATTGGTGTAAAGTGGGTTTACAAGACAAAGCTAAAGGAGAATGGTGAGGTTGACAAGCACAAGGCACGCTTGGTGGCTAAGGGTTACAAGCAGGAATTGGGTGTTGATTATAAAGAAGTTTTTGCTCTGGTTGCAAGGCATGATACAATCAGATTGATGGGTGCTATGGCAGCTCAAAACTCATGGCCTATCTTCCAGTTGGACGTGAAATCAACATTCCTCCATGGAGATTTGAAAGAAGAGGTATTTATCAATCAACCTCCTGGTTATGTAAAACTTGGCAATGAGCATAAAGTGTACAAGTGAAAGAAAGCTCTATATGGATTAAAACAAGCTCCACGGGCTCGGTATAATAGTATAGAAACTTATTTTTTGAAGGAAGGATTTCAAAAATGTCCTTATGAATATACACTTTTTATAAAAACTGAAGATGGAGGAAAGATGCTCATTGTTTGCTTATATGTAGATGATTTAATCTATACTGGAAATAATACAGCCATGTTTGGTAGTTTCAAGAAATCCATGATGGTTGAATTTGAGATGTCTAATCTTGGTATGATGCATTACTTTCTTGGCATTGAAGTGGTGCAATCCTCTGCTCGAATTTTTATTTCTCAAAAGAAATATGTGCGAGAATCTTGGACAGGTTTCAGATGAAGGATTGTAATCCTGTAAATACTCCATCTGAGTTTGGAGTGAACCTAAACAAAGATAATGGAGGAAAGAAGGTTGACAACACTCTTTACAAACAAATAGTGGGGAGTTTAATGTATTTGACAGCAACAAGACCTGATATAATGCATGCTGTAAGTGTGATTAGCAGGTACATGGAATGTCCTACAGAGATTCATCTCTTGGCTACAAAAAGAATTTTCCGTTACTTGCAAGGTACTAAAGAGTTTGGGCTGTTCTACAAGAATGTAGAAAAGTCAAATCTGTTTGGCTTTACAGATAGTGATTATGCAAGAGATTCAGATGATCGGAAAAGCACATCTGGTTATGTTTTCATGATGGGGACAGGAGCTGTTTCATGGTCATCAAAGAAGCAACCTATTATCACATTATCATCCACTGAAGCTGAATTTGTTGCTGCAACAGCTTATGCTTGTCAAGCTATTTGGCTAAAGAAAATCCTTAAAGAGCTACATTTCAAGGAGGATGGACCAACTCAGATTTATTGTGACAATAGTTCAGCAATAAAGCTTTCAAAAAATCCAGTTTTACACAGTCGAAGCAAACATATAGATGTGAAGTATCATTTCTTGAGGGATCTCACAAATGATGGAGTCATTAATCTTATTTACTGCAGAAGTGAAGACTAGATTGCTGATATTCTAACCAAGCCTCTCAAGTTTCTTGCATTTCAGAAGCTCAGGAAGCTACTTGGTGTTTGTACTTCAAATGTTTCAATTTGAGGGATGGAGCTTCAAAGTTTAACTCTTATTAAATTGGATGTATGTCTGGAACATCAGTTTAAGGGAGGGATTGTTGAGGAAATTTAATAATTTGCACGTTTGAGCTATCCTAGTCTTTAGGAGTGTTAGTAAGTTTGTTTCTGTTTACCTAGTCTATAGGAGTTTGTTTTTGAATGTTGGATAGTGCCTATTTTCATGTTGCTTTCAGTTATGTATTAGCCTATTTATAGGCTGGTGTTTATCAATGAAATGTAGAAAAAGTTTATCCTCTGCTTTCTCTATATCATCTGCTTCCAACTGTTATTGTGTAAACACGTCCTTTAGTACTTTGTTTCCATCAAAATATACTTCTCTTAAGGTTTGTGATTTTTTAGTTGTCAACGGTAAACAAAGAACAAACTCAGTCTAGACTGTTAGAGCTTTTGAAGAGATAAGACTGGTGAGTCTTTTGGTGGTGGTAGGTTAGATTTTGATGGTCGGGATTGGTCAGAATTTAACTTGAGAGGGGTGATTGCATGTTCCACAAATCGCTTGACTATCGATAATTGGTCGGGTCAACGATTACAGATTTGTAAGATTTTGGTGAGTAATTAATGATCGGAGAAAAAAATAATGGTGTGGGTGTGGGGTATCAACGATGCCGAAATTGGCCGGTGAGTTCCACCAGCCATTTGCGCGAATTTATTCTATCATTTTATGAAGCTAGCAGTTAAGAAATAAGACGTTATCTTTCCTCTACACGAAATCCTAACGTAATTCACATGAATTTATTATATTATTTGTTTGTAATGGTTTCACAATTTCGGTGTTATCGTGACTTATTTATTGTTTCGTCTCTTTAGTTTCGGAATTTAATAATGTCATATTGCTTTGAATACGCATATACTTTCCAATAATATCATCATTCTGCACCAGTGATCTCTTCCATTGCTCTTCTTCTTCCTTACTATATACATCACTTCTTAATTTCTACGTGGCGTGTCATTTTAGCGAACACAGCTTTAGAATAAACAATAATAAGTCGCTCCCATGACGATATGAACGGTTTTCCTTAATTTCTACGTACCTCCGGGCTCTGTCTTTTTTTTTTTTTTTCATCAAATAAATTTAACCAAACATGGAATAGAAAGAAACAAATTCAGTTTGTCAGCAACGTTAGCATTAATTTTGTTCTAATATATTAGGATATTGACAGCAAAAACTATTATAACTATAAAGAATTTCCTTATGAGAGTGATTTATTGTTTATTCTAAAGCCTCGTCTATGTAAAGCCATATGATACACCGATGAAGTTGATTGTGTTGGAATTGACAACCACTTCGATGAAGTCGACTGTGTTGGAATTAACAATTACTTCGACGATAAGAGGTGATGCACATGGGGTCTCACTCTCATAACAAATACATTCATTATACTGAAAGATGTGAGAAAATATTATAATAATATTGATTTTATTGGACATAGTCCAGATTTGAGTAAACCAAAATAAATCGCGTGTATTATTTTTCTTTACTATTTTTGTTATGTGTGTGTAATTGACATTCTTTTGGTTCCAAATACGCTCTAGATTGTTTTAGACTGTTTAGACATTTAGGCGATGAAGACATTTTATTGCAACAAAGTTCTTAACAGCCCAAATACTTATTGACGATGGAATTTCAACTTTGAGCGATGGCATAGGTTCATCACTCTATGACCTACATGTCTCTCACAGTCTCACACATAATATATCTTTGATAAACACTTCCTAGCAAATTAATTGAGTGAATAGTTAACATATATGGAATTCTGTTAGAATAACACACTCACAAACCACAGATTTTAACCAAATCAAACACAATCACAGAAGATCAAGAACACCACAATTTTACAGTGGTTCACCTTTCCAAGATTGGGAAGGCTACGTCCACGTTGAGCTCCGGAAAGATCGAAGCCCACTGCACTATCAGAAAAGTATTTTACAGATTACAGACGCAAGATCGAAAGATTCAATCAAACCCGAAATCACCCTATCTGGTAACTAATATCCCTGGAACCTATACACTTGTAATCCCAGCCAACAGAGAGACAAAACCCCTCTATCAGAATGACCAATCACTCACTCAATCAGTTACACAGACCCAAGATTTCAGAACACCGATGAACCCTAGCAGAGCACAAAACCTAAACAATTTAATTGAAACTTCAGACTGCCAACTAAAGAGAGAAAGTTCACTTATATACCGTTGACCACTATGGACTAATCACACCCGTTGGATCTTCTCAAAACTGATGGTCCAGATTCATGCTTGAAACAACAGCGTGTTGGTTAAGTGATACGGCACCGTTTTCGTCTTCACTTTTACAAATTCAAATATCTCATGTTCCTTCATACATGTTAATCAGTAAACTTTGATGTTGTCTTGATCTTAGGTTGTAATGAATTAAGCTTTTATAACATGTATCAAATGAATTCGTTAACTCAGATCTTGGAATTGGTCTATGGTACTAAACGTTAATGAATTATACTAATGATGCATGTTTAAATTTTTTTCATAAATTCACTCTTTTCCGATATGCCTAGCCATGAGTGTGCATACAGGAGGTCAAAATAAGCAAGGAAAAACCAAGAGATATTGAAAATTTAATAAATTTACTTCATAAATGCAAAAGCCAAAACTGGTAACAGAACCACAACATAAGCTCATCGCTTGGTGTCATGGCCATCATCGCTAAGAACCCATAGGCAGTACTGGCAATACATCCAGTTATCCACAACCTGTACTGATTCTTGCAGCGCGTCCAGGTTTACGTCGACACACCAAGGTGCCACAGAAGCAACAAAGAAGCACAACAGCATTACAAAGGGATGTTTGAAACATAATCACTATTTAAAAAAAAACGATTAAAGGATGTTTTCCACAAAATTCCGGAAACGTGGATCACTGTTTCATTGCGTAGCAAACAATCGCTGGAGCGATTATACACCAAACAAAGGGAATTACCCAGACCATCACCTGGTTGGGCAATTGGAGCCCAGCCGCCGTCACAACAGCCAACCCTATCGCAACATAGCTAACTGCATTTACAACCCTTACCACTATGCTGCGTCGTCCTCTACCGCCACCGCCAGAAAGACATAAACCATAGGACAAAGAGATAATGCCGACAAGAATGCAAACTATGAGAATATACAAAAATATTTTAGCTTCGATTGGCATTTCACCTTCACTCTTCTTGACCGATGTTACTGCTAAAGCAATTGAAATGATTTCACCCAGCACCATGAAGAGAGTCTCATGTCCACATCTATCCGGCGCAGGCTCATTATCTGCCTGAGTGGAGAACGTTCCAGATTCGATATCAGATGACTCTGATGTATAATTAAAAGTTTGGTTAATAGACCCGTTAACTTTCACGGCAGGGAGACCCTGATGATTAGGCGATGCTTCATTTTGTGCAGTCGATGAGCCCCCACCGGTCTGAGGATTTGTGTGCTCTGCAGACTCATTGTCTGCTTGAGTTGACAACGTTCCAGATTCCATATCAGATGATCCTGGTGCATAATTAACAGTTTGGCTCATATACCCGTTATCTTGCAGGTTATGGACCTGGTGATCACCACCAACAAGAAACCGATGATTAAGTAGTGCTTCATTTTGTGCAGTTGAGGAGCCCCCTCCGGTCTTAAGATTTGTATGCTCTTGAGATGCTGGAGAAAGAGGTCTTTTTGGTCAGTGGAGAGATGGTAATTACAGTAGTAAAAAAGAAAAAAAGTAATAAACATTGATTCGTTGATGAAATGATTTAAAAGAATTTTGCGGAAAAATTGTTCACATAATAAAAAGAATAATATTGATAACAGCTACTTAGGATTATAAAAATTAAAAAGAATGAACTTGATGAAATAGCTTACTTACCAGGTGAAGCAGCCTTAACCTTTCCCTCACGAGCTTCAGATCTCAGCCTTGCGACAACCTCAGCCTTTTCGGGAATAATTTGGATGATTACATCTTTAAGTTCTTCGTCCATATCTTTCCATAAATTATATTCATCTTCAGTCATCTTAACCTTGTGCCTGCCATTTGATTAAAGCTTTAGGGAGCATAATTTTATGTTTCAGAGAACGAACGAATTTCAGACTTTGGTCAAGGATACATACGACTCTTTGTTCACTGCTGCCTTGAGTGTTCGTTGACCTCCATATGATGACCAGTTTAACACGTCATACCTGCCATTTGAATATGAGGCAACAGAAGATACCTGAGAGCCCAAAATAATTCGCTATTTTGAAAAGAGATACATACCAGATGTCTCTGCAATTCTTCGTTGGTCTTTCTGGAAATTTAGATCGCAGCCATCTAACAAGCTCAGCCTTTCTATTATTATTTTCAGGATTCAATTTAAAATATATTTCAACAAATACTTCATCCAAAAGTATCCAAAAAAGAACTTCTTTAATAGACATGACCTTTCCTTCACTTAAGTTTAGTTGCATATCAGGCGGCAACGAAATAGAATTCTTCATTGCTTGAATAAGGGTTTCACGCATAGCACTCATAGTTACTGACATATTTGGTCGAACTGAGATGCCCGACGGAAATCAAATTTGAGACGCAGGAACTATTCAGCAGAAGCGCGGAGAAATAAAATAATTGTTTGATATTTTAATCCAAGCAAGAAGCCATGGTAAAATCCAAAACTGAGAAATCAAGAAACTTTAAATATTTTAATCCCACCAAGCCGGCATTGTAGAGTTCTAAACCAAGTGAAAGGCCCCACATGATTATTATTGAAACCGTTAGATTCACCATCAAATCAAAGATCTAACGGTTGGTAAATAGTAGCACTCAATCGAATTCTTTTTCATGCAATAACTGGCATTTACAAAAAGACAAATACCTGATGCTTCTATTCTAAGTGTCCAATGCAAAGACGAAAATGAGTTATGAGGATGAAAATGATGTTCTTCCGCTTGGTTTAGAACTCCACAATGCCGGCTTGGTGGGATTAAAATATTAAAAGTTTCTTGATTTCTCAGTTTTGGATTTTACCATGGCTTCTTGCTTGGATTAAAATATTAAACAATTATTTTATTTTTCTCAGCGCTTCTGCTGAATAGTTCCTGCGTCTCAAATTTGATTTCCGTCTCGCATCTCAGTTCGACAAATATGTCAGTAACTATGAGTGATATGAATGAAACCCTTATTCAAGCGATGAAGAATTCTATTTCCATGCCGCCTGATATGCAACTAACCTTAAGTGAAGGAAAGATCATGTCTATTAAAGAAGTTCTCTTTTGGATACTTTTGGATGAAGAATTGGTTGACATATATTTTCAATTGTATCCTGATTATAATAGAAAGGCTGAGCTTGTTAGATGGCTGCGATCTAAATTTCCAGAAAGACCAACGAAGAATTGCAGAGACATCTTGTATGTATCTCTTTTCAAAATAGCGAATTAGTTTGGGTTCTCACTTATCTTCTGTTGCCTCATATTCAAATGGCAGGTGTGAGGATGGGCGAATGCTGGAAGAAATGGTCAACTTGGAACATTTTTGTTCATCATCTGAAGATCCACCTGAGGAACAATCATTTCAGGCAGTAGTGAACGAAAAGGGGTAAGGATCTTTGACCAAATTCTAAAATTCGTTCGTGCTCTGAAACATAAAATTCTGCTCCCTAAAGCTATAATCAAATGGCAGGCACAAGTTTAATATGACTGAAGCTGAATATAATTTATGGAAAGATATGCCCGAAGCACTTAAAGATGTGCTAATCCAAATTATTCCCGAAAAGGCTGAGGTTTTCGGAAGGCTGAGATCTGAAGCTCGTGAGGGAAAGGCCAAGGCTGGTTCGCCGGGAAGTAAGCTATTTCTTCAAGTTCATTCTTGATTGAATTAATTTATTATTTTTAGTTCAATTGATGTCCTCATACATTCAATAACAACTAAACAAATGATAATCATCATAATGCAATCAACACCATATAACACCAACAAATGCACGGGGGTTACATTCTCACGCGCTTCTGCTGAATAGTTTCTGCCTAACCTGCATTTCAAATCTGATAAATTTTTTCTTCTGCGAATTCCAGACGAATCTTTTACGATTTTCCCATCGAAAACTTCAGTAACTATGAGTGAAGATCAGGACGAGACGACACTTAATCAAGAGTTTGAAAGATCTTATTCGTTCCCGTATGACGATGATTCTGTTACAAGATTCTATCATTTGAGACGTATGTACGAACTTATAAAAGCATCAAGCAATCTTTTAGAAAGATCGTATAAACAGCCAGAAGTGAACGAATTCTGGTATGTATCCTTGACCAAAGTCTGAAATTCGTTCGTGCTCTGAAACATAAAATTCTGCTCCCTAAACTTTAATCAAATGGCAGCGACGAGTTTAATATGACTAAAGGTAGATATGGTATATGGGAAGTTGAGTATATGCCCCCCGCAAAGCTCGGAATGGGATGGATGGGATCTGTAGCAAGTGAGAGAGAGGCTAAGACTGCTTTGTCACCTGGTCAGTAAGCTGCTATTCCTTCAAGTTCATTCCTTTTATAATCATAAGCAGCTGTTAACCAATATTATTCCTTAATTTATGTGAACAATTTTCTTTTAATTCATTTCATTCTATCTTTCACTAAATTTAATACATTTCACATTGTTAGTTCTTGAGATTGCTTCTTTATATTTACTTAGTTGATTTTACACAATTTTTCTTCTTCTTTTTCGAAATTTGAGATTATGATTCTTGATTCAATTCAATTTGTATCATTAAATTAATTCATTATTTCTAGTTCAGTTGATGTCCTCATACATTCAATAACTAAACAAATGATAATCATCATAATGCAATCAACACCATATAACACCAACAATGCACGGGGACGCGCTTCTTCTGAATAGTTTCTGCCTAACCTGCACTTCAATTCTGATAAATTTTTTTTTTTACGCTTTTCCCATCGAATACTTCAGTAACTATGAGAGAATATCAGTACCAGACGGTGCGTATTATAGAGCCTTTCAAAGCTACTTGGTTTCTTAGGAGTGATATCCGCCGCGGGCCCAGGTATGAATTTCTTCTCTAAATAGCGAATTAGTTTGGGCTCTCAGGTATCTTCTGTTGCCTCATACTCAAATGGCAGGTTCAAGGACTGTTGTAGAGATCCGCTTGTGGAACAATCATGTCAGGCAGTAGTGAACGAAAACGGGTAAGTATCCTTGACCAAAGTCTGAAATTTGTTCGTGCTCTGAAACATAAAATTATGCTCCCTAAAGCTTTAATCAAATGGCAGGCACAAGTTTAATATGACTGAAGGTGAATATATTTTATGGAAAGATATGCCCGAAAAACTTAAAGATGTGCTCATCCAAATTATTCCCGAAAAGGCTGAGGTTGTCGGAAGGCTGAGATCTGAAGCTCGTGAGGGAAAGGCTAAGGCTGCTTCATCTGGTAAGTAAGCTATTTCGAGATTATTCCCGAAAGGCTGAGGTGATATTGCTTCTTTATATTTACTTAGTTGATTTTACACAATTTTTCTTCTTCTTTTTCGAAATCTGAGAGATTATGATTCTTGATTCAATTCAATTTGTATGACTGAACAATGATAATCATCATAATGCAATCATTACCATATTATTCCACTAACATTTTTTTAATATTTCACATGAGTTTTATATTAAGAAAAATAAAATATTAATTTTCATGTACCCATCTATCGTTCGTTTGATCTATATATGATATATATCCCATTTCACATAGCTACTTCCAGGGCTATCTCTGCTGATTTTGTAACTAATGGAGTGATGAGTTCAATACTACAAGAAATCTATAGATACCTACTTTAAATTTGGCCTTCTTATATGTATTAATGAATCCAACGTGCAACGAATCAATGTTTATTGTTTCTATTAATTTTTTTTTTATTTTTTTTATTACTGTAATTCCCATCTGTCATCTGACCCAAAAAAACCTCTTTCTCCTGCATCTCAAGAGCTTAAGACCAGAGGGGGCTCCTCGACTGTTAATTATGCACCAGAATCATCTGATTTGGAATCTGGAACGTCCTCCACTCAGGCAGATAATGAGCCTGCAGAGCATACAAATCATGAGACCGCAGGGGGCTTCTCGACTGCACAAAATGAAACACCGCCTAATCATCAAGTTCTCCCTGTTGTTGGCGATCACCAGGTCCATAACGTGCAAGTTAACGGGTCTACGACAGATAAAGAGCCTGCAGAGCATACAAATCCTGAGATCGGAGGGGGCTCATCGACTGCACAAAATGAACCACCGCCTAATCATCAGGTTCTCCTTGTTGGTCTTGATTTCCTTGGTGATGGTGATCACCAGGTCCATAACCTGCAAGTGAGCAGGTTATTTAATTTCTGGCAAGAACTTGAAGATAAGCTCATCCCGATGTGTCCCAGAAAGGCTGAGGTTGTCAGAAGGCTGAGATCTAAAGCACATGAGAGAAAGGCTAAGGCTGGTTCAGGTAGTAAGCAAAGCTATTTCTTCAAGTTCATTCTTTTTGTAATCTGATGGAACCTACCCAAGTAACTCAGTTACTCATGCATTCAATCAACCATTTTAGGCTACAATCAACCAAGAACAGAAAGAGGCAGTGAATGTCTTGTTTAAAATGGATATTTGGATTGATATTCAGTAGCTCATTACAGTGAATCAAACAAAAAGGAAAATATGGCTAAAACAGAAAAAAGAAAGAAGCCAGGCTGATCTTCGAGGGTCAGCTCCTCCCCACAATTCCCAACAATATTCTCAATGCCTTCCCCCTCTGTTGGTTCCCCTTTTATTCCTTTATTTGTCATGCTAGCTGTGTTGTTGTTCCACCTGTCAAACAGATTCATTCACGCTTGTTGTGCTGCTGCCTTACTTGTTATGCTGCTGCTCCAGCTGTCCTGTATTACTCTTCCTTCTTTGCCCCTTACGGTTATACCACTTGACTATTGGTGGTCCATCATTACCCTCCCCAAGGAGTGCCACCTTGTCCTCAAGGTGGAAAGAAGGGAATTGGTGGCATATGGCAGCATAATCCTCCCATGTATTGTCACAATGGGAAAGTGACTTCCACTTGATTAGGATTTCATACGTACCGTTCAGGAGGCGTCGTTTACGTAGAGCCTGTTCAGGTTCGACTTGCAGGACCAGATCACTAGTGAGTACGGTGGGAAGGGGCTGGGTAGTCATAGGGGCAGCGGTGGCTCGTTTCAGTTGCGAGACATGAAAGACATCATGTATCCGGGCTGTGGGGGGTAAGTTGAGGCGATACGCAACCTGTCCCACTTTGGCCGTAATGGAGAAGGGTCCGTAGTAACGGGGGCTGAGCTTTTCATTGACTCGCCTTGCGAGGGAGCGAAGACGGTAAGGCTGAAGTTTCAGGTAGACGGAGTCCCCTACGGAAAATTGAACTTCCCGACGTTTGCCATTAGCATATTGTTTCATGTGTTCTTGGGCCCTATTCAGGTTCAGCTTTAATTCCTCTAAGATGGAATTGCGGTCTGTTAGTTGCTGGTCTACGGCATCCACCACAGAAGAGTGCTCACTATATTTTAAAAGAATGGGAGGGTCGCGACCATAGAGAGCCTTGAACGGAGTCATTCCTGAAGAGCGGTTGTAAGTGGTGTTAAACCAGTATTCTGCCCAGGCTACCCATTTGGGCCATTGATGCGGTTGATGCCCTGCAAAACAGCGGAGGTAAGTTTCGACACAACGGTTGACAACCTCCGTTTGAGGATGGTAGGCGGTACTCATGTGGAGTTGAGTTCCTGATTGTTTAAACAATTCTCCCCAGAATAAACTCATGAAAATTCGGTCACGGTCGGAGACAATAGTGCGGGGAAAGCCATGTAAACGGACAATTTCTGTAAGGAACAGGTTGGCCACTTCTTGAGCTGTGAAAGGGTGTCACAAGGGAAGAAAGTGGCTATACTTCGTAAGGCAATCCACCACAACCAGGATGGTGTCCAGCCTGTGAGCCTTAGGAAGGCCCCCAATAAAATCCATGGACACGTCTTCCCAAACCTGAGATGGAATAGGTAGAGGTTGTAGGAGGCCAGCCGGTTGCAGTGCATCATATTTGTTTTGTTGGCAAACTGAGCAGGCCTTTACAAAAGCCTGGATATCCTGTCTCATTCCCTCCCAATAAACTACTTGCGCCAGCCGCTTGTAAGTACGGAAATAACCAGAATGGCCCCCGGCTGGGGAAGAGTGAAATTCCCGCAGAAGTTGCTGCACTTGGGGACAGGATTTGGGCAGCACCAAACGATCATCATAGTAGAGTAAGGAACCCACTAACCTGAATTGCGAATGGCTGGATGAATCGATGATCAGATCTTGATAAATTTTCTGCAGCTTGCTGTCACGTTGAATGGCCTCTACCCACTCTTATTTTTTGGCGAAATAACAGATTGAAATGGCTGTACACTCAACCGTGCCATCACGTCGGGATAAGGCATCTGCAGCTTTATTTTCTAACCCGGGTTTATACTGAATTTCATAGTTTAATCCGAGCAACCTGATTATCCATTTGTGTTGTTCTTCAACTTGTAACCGCTGCTCATTCAAATAGTGAAGGCTTCGCTGATCGGTTCTAATAATGAAACTGCGACCCAACAAGTAGTGGCGCCATTTTTGAACCGCAAGGACCACGGCCATCAATTCTCTCTCTTAAACCGAACGAAGCCGCGAGCGAGTGGAAAGACCTTGACTTAAGAAGGCCAAGGGTCTGCCTTCCTGCATTAGGACAGCCCCGATACCGTATCCTGAAGCTTCTGTCTCAATGACGAATGTTTTTGAAAAGTTCGGCATGGCGAGGACTGGAACAGTAGTCATTACCTTTTGCAATTCTTCTAATGCCTTTTGTGCTACCTCAGACCACACAAAAGAATCCTTACGGAGCAGATTTGTTAAGGGTAAGGCAATGGCCCCATAACCGTTGACGAATTTCCGATAATATCCTGTCAAACCCAGAAATCCACGGAGCGCCTTTACATCCTTCGGAACAGGCCATTTTAATATGCAATCTACCTTGGAAGGGTCAACGGCAACTCCTTGGCCTGAAATAATGTGGCCTAAGTATTCCAACTTACATTGCCCGAAAGTGCATTTTTTCTTGTTAACCACCAATTGGTGGTCGAGTAGAACCTGAAATGTGAGTCTCAAATGGTGCGAGTGTGCTTCTGAGTTAGTACTGTAAACCAATATGTCGTTAAAAAAAACCAAGATGAACTTACGTAAGTATGGTTTGAAAATGTTGTTCATGAGAGCTTGGAAGGTGGACGGCGCATTCGATAATCCGAAGGGCATTACTAGAAACTCGTAGTGCCCTTCGTGTGTGCGGAAGGCTGTCTTATGAGTATCTTCCTCCCGGACACGAATTTGGTGATATCCCGAATTAAGGTCGAGCTTTGAGAATATCGTGGCCCCGCCTAACTCGTTCAAATAACTCGTCCATTGTCTGTATCAGAAACTTATCAGGTATGGTGACTTTGTTGAGTGCTCGGTAATCGACGCAGAAACGCCATCCTCCGTCTTCTTTTTAACCAAAAGTACTGGGCTGGAAAAGGGACTGATACTTGGCTTGATAATTCCGGAAACCAGCATTTCTTGTACAATCCGCTCTATCTCATTTTCTGATAATATGGGTACCGATAGGGTTGATATGGGGACTGGAGCTGCCTGTTCGAGCCTGATAGCGTGATCACAATGTCTTGCCGGTGGCAGTCGGGTAGCGGTTCAAATAAGACTTGGTATTCCTCAATAGTGCACCCAATTACCCTCATCCGTTACTTCTTCATGCTCTGCGCCTGCAAATTATTATTTCCAACAAGTAGCCTGGCCTCATACTGGATCATTTTTAGAATCCTTTTCAATGACAACTTGGTTCTGCTCAAAGAGGGGTCCCAATCAACATGATAATTTTCCGGACTGGTTGAATTATTACTGATTTTTCCAGTCAGTGGTGATTTCTCTCAGTGTCTCTAACCATGCAACCCCAAAATCACATCCGCACTAGTCATATCGAAGGGGTAGAAGTGGTGGACTACTGATACCTTGCAGCTGTAACTTCACTGCGCGACATTCCCCTTGACAAGCTTACCCTGTACCCATCACCAACTCTGACTCCAAATTTAGTAGAGGGTATAGGGAGTTTGAGCTCATCCACTACCTGTCGTTGATGAAATTGGGAGACGCCCGCTGTCAATTAAAACCACCACATTTCTTCCCGCAATTTCCCCTTTTAGCTTCAAGGTTTTTGGCCCATGATACCTTCCACGGAACTGATGGAAAGCTCCATTGTGCCTGATGCATCTTCTTCCCCTTTGAGTTCCTCTACCGATAGCTCATTCACCTCCTCAGGATCTTATCTTCCAACATAGAACTTGTACCTGCTTATCCCCATCTATGACCGGAGAGTACTTCACGGCACAACGATAGCATAAACCCCTCTCCGTTTGCGTTGGATCTCGGCTTCCGTCATTCGCTTGAAGGGAACTCACGTCGGCCTGAATCGGGCAAAAATTGACTGATGATGGCGAGTTGGGGCTGGAGTGGGTTTCGTTTGGGTTGCGTCGACAAGGTGGTTGTGGGGTTGAGTGGGTTGATGAGTGTTGACTTGGGTCAATAGCATTTGGGTTTGTAGCTTCCATAGTCGAGTTGACTGGGCGTAAGACTTTGTACCAAAAGAGGTGAATTCCATTTAGTTACACGCGCAGATCCAAATTTGAATTCCTCCACAGTTTTATTCCTTTCCCCACACGCTGGGCCAATTGGGCCACATTACTAGTGAATTGGGCTGTTGGATGAGATTGGGCTGTGGAGTTTGATTTCAGCTTTTACTTCAGGCCTAAGCCCATTCAGAAAGCAGCAGTGAGCACTCTTCCTTTTATTTGTCATTAAAGCTGCGACTTCTTCAAATTTTCGGCGATAATCCAGAATTGTGCCTGTTTGCTTGGTGGCCATCAGCAGCTCCAAGGGACTCACTTCTTGGGTCCCGCTAAACCTTTGGGAGAGAGCTATTTTAAACTCCTGCCACTACTGTCCTTAACCTGGTTTCCATCCATTGATACCAATGGAGGGCTTTTCCCTCCATGATAATGCAGTGGCTGCTACCCTGTGTTCTTCAGCTATCAAGTTGAAAGTGAAGTAAATTCCACCTTAAATATCCATCCATACGGGTCTCACCGGAAAAGAACTCAACTTTCTCCCCTTCCATTCATGATGATGCCATCCTTCACCCCCTTGTTTCCAAGTTTCTCCGGATGGGTCACCTTCAAAGTTTTCCCCTTGTGGGCACTCCTTGATTTCCTATCTCATGTTCATTGTGCTCAACCCTGCCACGACTTGAGTTTTCGAAATTTCTCTTCGTTCCTCCTCTTCTTCATCTTTTTTTTGCCATCCAATTTTGCATATCGATTAAAATCTCCCATTGTGTTCACCGTTTCAGTAACTTTAGCTACATCCTTCTCAACGTTCTCTATTTCTATATCCATCCTTGTTCCAACCATGCCCTGAATCAAGCTTGGCTCTGATACCAATTTGATGGAACCAACCCAAGTAACTCAGTTACTCATGCATTCAATCAACCATTTTAGGCTACAATCAACCAAGAACAGAAAGAGGCAGTGAATATCTTGTTTAAAATGGATATTTGGATTGATATTCAGTAGTTCATTACAGTGAATCAAACAAAAGGAAAATATGACTAAAACAGAAAAAAAGAAAGAAGCCAGGCTGATCTTCGAGGGTCAGCTCCTCCCCACAATTCCCAACAATATTCTGAGTGCCTTCTTCCTCTGTTGGTTCCCCTTTTATTCCTTTATTTGTCATGCTAGCTGTGTTGTTGTTCCATCTGTCAAACAGACTCATTCACGCTTGTTGTGCTGCTGCCTCACTTGTTATGCTGCTGCTCCAGCTGTCCTGTATTTTTGCCCCTTACGGTTATACCACTTGACTGTTGGTGGTCCATCATAATCATAAGTAGCTATTAACAATATTATTATTTCCTTGAAATTTATATTGATTAGTTGATCTCTTTATAACCAAAATTTTCTGTAAATTCTTTTAAATCATTTCATTCTATCTTTAACTAAATTTAATTCATTTCACATTATTAGTTCTTGAGTCAGATTGCTTCTTTATATTTACTTGGTGGATTTTACACAATTTTTCTTCTTCTTTTTCAAAATCTGAGATTATGATTCTTGATTCAATCCAATTTGTATCAGTGAATTAAATTATTATTTTAGTTCAATTGATGTCCTCATACATTCAATTTTTTCATGTTTAGATTTCCTTCCAAGCCTAGCTTTTCAGGATACGGTATCAAAGGTTAATTTGTGGACAAGTTTGGCATTCATTTCGGCTCCAATTTTACTAGATGGAGAATATTACAAAGACAGAAACTCAGTTTCTTATAAGTTGTTTGTTGCCTTCATGATTTGCATCATTTTCTCTTTCACTGGGGCATTTTGCGCTTTGCTGATCAGAAACAAGCCCAAACTTGCAGTTCTCCGAGGATGTTATTTCTTGCTCTCCATTGTTTCAATGGCATCAGCTTTATCAATACTGGGATATGCCTTGTTCTGGAAAGTTTAATGTGGGTTTAATTTGTGGCAGACTTAACACTACTGTTTTCTTATGTGTAATCATTAGTCTTTTGAAACACCTTGTGAGGTGATACAACACTACTATTTTCCTTCTCTTTTGAAGATTGTTGGATGCTATTGCTTGAACCTATGTCTTTTTAAGATGTTATTTCCTATTGCCAAACATATGTTAAATTTCTTTTTCAGTTTATGGGTTTTTGTGGGTTTTCAAACAAATAGATCAGAAATAAATTCTTATGATACCAAATACTTGAAACGAATGTTGCAGCTCTACTCTTTTATAATACCAGATACTTAAAAAGAAGAACTGAAAATTGCTCAAACCATGTTATCTATGTTATGAACTCTGTATTGGAGTCGCCTAAGACCAGAAGGCTTCGTCCATCATGAACCCTTCATGAAGTACAACGGATTCATTTCCGATACTTTGCAAGGTTTTCTAGTCTTGTGAGATAATTTTGTGTAGCAAACACAACATTACAGATCTCATCTGCCACAGCCAGTCATAAATGATGCATGTAAAATTTCTGCATTTGGAACATCAGGCTCTCTCTGCTTCAAGTCCCTTTCTCTTCTGCTCTGTTTTGAGCTTTTATTTCTTCATCTGCAAATGCAAAACCTCCCAATGGAATATGTAAATATAGAAATTCTCAGTGCTAATATCAAATTTGTTACTGGAAACATGTCAGGTGTAGCAAACAGAACAAAAAGGAAATTGCAAAACAGGATCAAACGTTAAATAGAATAATACAATATTTAGCGAAAAGAAACAGCTATTCTTGTTCTTTTTAGGCAGAACAAGGCCGTTTAGTTTGCTTGATTAGCAGTTAAAAAGAGAAAACAATTAAATAATTTAATCCACTCACTAAATTTATCTAGTAAAACCATTTTTAATTTGAGAAAACTATCATATCGAAGGAATTAGAAGTAACTAGAGTGTATGTGTTCCAGAATAGAATAGGGTTAATGAACATTTTCAAAAACGAATGTCCATGTAATCCATTCTTCTTTCTCCACATATTCCAACCTATTCAATTCTTCTATTTGCATGAAAAAGTAAAGCTTTGGAAACATAATTATGATTCCTGTGGTGAACAAACAGAAGCTGGTATTTGGAACAGCACAGACCTGGCCCTTTTTAAATTTACATGCTCTTATATTTAAGAAAAGTAAAAATGAAACTTCATGTCATCACTTCATTTCACTAAGGAAAAATAGCAAAATCCAAAAGTTTTGATTTCCATCCATAATTATTAATATCTTGAAGCTCCTTGAATTTCCAAATAACTTTACCATTTTCCTTCTCTTTTAGGATACAGAACTCTAAATTAGATCCAATACATGTTATGTATGATTGTGAGATCCTTTGAAGATTGGTAGATGCTATTTGCTGATTAAATTACATATGTTTTTTAAGATGTTATTTCCTAATAACATACATATGTTAAATTTCTTTTTCAGTTTATGGGTTTATGTGGGTTTTTTAACGATTAGATCAGAAAAAAATTCTTGTGATACCAAATACTTAAAAAGAGTAGAGCTGAAAATTGCTCAAAACATGTTATCTATGTTATGAACTCTGTGTTGGAGTCGCCTAAGACCAGGAGGCTTCATCCATCATGAACCCTTCATGAAGTACCATGGATTCATTTTTGATACNACACCCGCTAAATCAACTACTCTAAATTCAATTCAATTAAGAATATAAACAAATATGAACAATAAACAAATAACACATAAACAAACAATAACATATAATACAAAACTACAAATACCAACCAAAATAAACAAATACAAAATCACTAATACACAATTACACATAAACAAACAAAATAATTCAATATATTATAAATATCAATTAAAATAAACAAATACATAATCTAATATTCAACAAAAAACATTCTTAGAACAGCAAATGTTCATCCCACAGTGGGCGTGATAGAGTCTCTTGATTCCATAGTCTCGAGATTAGTCAATGGCACATCAAGATCATCATCCGAATTATCTTTCACCTCATCATCTACAAAACAATGATCAACTACAAATAGATCAAAATGGAACAAACTAACACGAGTGTTTAACATTAAATAACACACTAACACAAGAGTTCTGTTCCAGTAAGTAACAAACAGATCAAAATGGAAGAAATACTAAACCATTCAAGAACATCAAGTCTCATTGTTTAACATTAAATAATACTCTCTTGTTTTAACCTCAACATTACAGGGCTGGTATAAATATGATATCAAATGCAGCTTTGCACACTAGAAACCAAATTTCATTGAATCTACATTAAAACAGTAATTGTAGAGATGAATTTAATCTAATTCTCAGCTGCCCCTTGACTTGGATTTGTTAGAGAAACCATTATTAAACATGAAAGTCTACCAGTATCTAACCAAAGACAACTAAACCCAAGGAAATATTTCACAACTTAGTTCTAAACTACGGACCACCTTGAATCTTTTAGATGAGATGCAAAGCCTTTGATGTCAAATCGCGACCTACACGGATTTGCTTGCCTCATTCACCCAAAATACGTTTACTCAACTATGAGGATCCAAGACTTGTAAATGGAATGTCAAACTCCTTCACTAACGATGTGAGATATGACATTTGGCATAGTTCCCGTTAGCCTTTTACAATGCTATACACCTCCACGCATAGCCCTTCTTAATCCAGATTACACTTGTTAGGTTAAATGTAATCTATTAAGCTTGAAACTTGAAACCACAGAACCAAAAAACGTATAGGGAAAATATTGAAAATGGAAACAGAAATTAACTAAAGATGAAATGTATCAATATCACTGGACTTGTTAAAGCATTGACAACAATTTTATGTATAACATATGCATGGTATATGATTCTTTCCAAAGTTAACAAAATTAGGGGTTAGGGATTCATTACCAGCCGACGAGGATGAGTGATGGCGACCGGCGACTGTGGTACTAGGAATGGGAATGACTGACGACGACGAGTGATGAACTGACGATTAATCGAAGATGGAGACACCGAGACAGGGAGTTGAACTTCAGACGAAGAAGATTGATGAGAGATTGAGATGCGGCCATGATAAAGTTACTGAGAATCTGAGAGTGAGAGATCAGAGATGAGATGAGAGTGAGAGATCAAAGATGAGATGAGACTGAGAGTGAGAGGCGTGAGTCATGACTGCGTGAATGGCAATGGCTAAATGCGTGAAAAAATTAGGGGTTACTGTTAGCCTGTTAGGGATTCAAATTCATTAGTGCAAATACGGGTACCCGCGGGTTCACCCGTATAAACCGTGTATATTTGGGCCGGGTACGAGTACGGGTATGGGTCTCAAAAAACGGGTTTAATAAATTGGACCCGTACCCTATATTTTTTACCTGGGTACGAGCTGACCTGCGGGTCCAAACCCGTTTTGCTAAGTCTACTACTAACTAATGTAAATCATGTAAGACATTTCCTCAAACAGCTTGCGAGCATGGATATTATGCAACATTGCAAATCTGCAAAATAACATGTCTGTCACACGGCATCATGAGGAAATTTAATTGCAATGACCTCTGAAGTTTGCAATTTAGAAAGTAGCAAATTATTTTGCATTTTTTTTAAGATTGAAAAACTAACGCGGCACACTTAAGAATCACTAAACATGTAAAAAGGGTTAGACTAAAAAGATTTAAACAAATATAGGTAACAGTATAATTAACGAAAATTGGTTTAAATTTTGAACATAATACATATAAGCACTCAACCTTAACTCGACCTCATTGAATTGGGTCAAGTCGATCTGGTGTATGTCGGGTTGAGCTTTAAGCCCACTACATTTTTTTTTTGGATTATTTCAAGTCGATGAGGTTGAGTTTGGCCTTGGACATAGGGAGATTGNTGTATAACATATGCATGGTATATGATTCTTTCCAAAGTTAACAAAATTAGGGGTTAGGGATTCATTACCAGCCGACGAGGATGAGTGATGGCGACCGGCGACTGTGGTACTAGGAATGGGAATGACTGACGACGACGAGTGATGAACTGACGATTAATCGAAGATGGAGACACCGAGACAGGGAGTTGAACTTCAGACGAAGAAGATTGATGAGAGATTGAGATGCGGCCATGATAAAGTTACTGAGAATCTGAGAGTGAGAGATCAGAGATGAGATGAGAGTGAGAGATCAAAGATGAGATGAGACTGAGAGTGAGAGGCGTGAGTCATGACTGCGTGAATGGCAATGGCTAAATGCGTGAAAAAATTAGGGGTTACTGTTAGCCTGTTAGGGATTCAAATTCATTAGTGCAAATACGGGTACCCGCGGGTTCACCCGTATAAACCGTGTATATTTGGGCCGGGTACGAGTACGGGTATGGGTCTCAAAAAACGGGTTTAATAAATTGGACCCGTACCCTATATTTTTTACCTGGGTACGAGCTGACCTGCGGGTCCAAACCCGTTTTGCTAAGTCTACTACTAACTAATGTAAATCATGTAAGACATTTCCTCAAACAGCTTGCGAGCATGGATATTATGCAACATTGCAAATCTGCAAAATAACATGTCTGTCACACGGCATCATGAGGAAATTTAATTGCAATGACCTCTGAAGTTTGCAATTTAGAAAGTAGCAAATTATTTTGCATTTTTTTTAAGATTGAAAAACTAACGCGGCACACTTAAGAATCACTAAACATGTAAAAAGGGTTAGACTAAAAAGATTTAAACAAATATAGGTAACAGTATAATTAACGAAAATTGGTTTAAATTTTGAACATAATACATATAAGCACTCAACCTTAACTCGACCTCATTGAATTGGGTCAAGTCGATCTGGTGTATATCGGGTTGAGCTTTAAGCCCACTACATTTTTTTTTTGGATTATTTCAAGTCGATGAGGTTGAGTTTGGCCTTGGACATAGGGAGATTGCAATGGGCCTCCCTGCGCCTACCAAGGCCGTTCTCAACCTCAATAGCTGCTCAAGGCCATTATCATCCTCCAACAAGGACCGTGAGGCCGCTTTTGGCGTCAAGCGGCTCCGCTTGGCCGGATTTGTTTAAAAAATTTTGGTTGAGAATTTTTGGTCTTATTTATTAGTATTTAAAGTTTACATGTTTAGAAAACTATTTTTTTAGGCTTTACGAAATATAAATTTGATAAGTTGGGGTAATAGTAAAGTTTTTTGAACTTTTTGAAGGGTAGAAATTTCATATCGTCATTTGTGTTAAAAATCTAAACGGAAATGGAGGTTAGGACAGAATTTTCCATACCCATGGGTGTTTTATATTTTCCCAAAATTGTGTAATAACGCCCATCCTGGTGAAACACCATGTTGTTTAGAGTGTTACTGTTTATACATAAACTCGAATGATGAACCGGCGCATTCAAATAAATGAACCAATGCGCACATTGAACGTGCAGTGGCGGCAAAATCACTTTTTCACTTCCCTCACATTCTCGCTTCTTCTGGCTACTACTCAGCTAAATACAAATAGCTAATTTGAAAGTGTGAAATAGTTTTGTTTATTTTTTTTCTCTTCACGGTATTCGAAATGGAAGAATCAACTTCACTAGTTTGTAATCTTGGGATTTTGGAGAAGCTCAATGACAATTCAATTCAAGAAATTATCAAAAGCTACGGCGGTTTCTGTACCACCACAGAATCTCTCCTCAACGGCGCCGGTGATCTCTCCGTAGGACCGGAGTTCGTGTTGCACGTACACTCTCTCTGCAAGCACGGCCTCCAATCTCTTGTTTGTGACCACTTTCTTCTCTCTTTAGAGGTATCCAATTCAACCCACAACTCTCACCAGCTGTAATTGTTTTATCTATCTAGATGTGCAAGACGTGTTTGTTGAACTGATTTGAATATGTTAATCAACTGTTAAGATCTTGCCATGTAGAAATTTTGGTGATTTTAGGGTTTCAGATGTTTCAAAAAAATTGATATGTAGCTGTATGTGTTGATTCATGACAGCAAGCTTTTGAGAAAATTGGCGTGACAAATTTTTGGCGGCATTTTGATTCATACAGCAAAGTTGGAGTGCTACAGAAGAATAATTCCTCTGTATGTAACATACGCGGTTTAAAGATTCTATTCTTAGTTATTTACTAGGTATTTAGTGTCATAATTTTTGCTAATAAAACGCAGATTTATGATGACGAGGTTCAGCTGGTGTTATGTAAAGCTTTAGAAGAAATGGCTTTGGAGAAACAGTATCAGGAAAAGTGTTTGTTTATGCTTGTTCATGCTTTACAGTTACACAAGGAAAGTATGTTTGAGGGAAAACAAAATGCAGATTCAGAAAGAGCACATCTTTTCGCTAAATATCAGTTAATGGTATCTTCGGTTCTTATGGCTAGTCTTCCTCTACATTTTCCAGGTATGTGTATTTAAAATGGTTTATTGGGTTGTTGTAGGTGTGGATAAGTACGTTGATCTAAAAATTTGTAGATAATAAGTACTATTACTTGAGGATTCTGTTTCTGCTTTGTTCTCCCCGAATCTGTGTTTCTGGTAACGTTTTGGTAGTTAAAGTTCAATGAAGTTCTTTATGATGTCCACAGACATACTCCATAGGTATTTTAAGGGAAAGCTGGAGGAGTTAAGTAGAATCATGGATGGTGACTTAGAGGGCAAAAATGAATTTCAAGGTAAAGACAACATGGATTTAGATGAAAAAGGTAAACACAGGACAGGTGAAATGGATATTGATGAAAGCTATAACCATGGGAAATTTTCAGAGAAGAACAAATTGGTGAAGCATATTGGGAAGGTTGTTCGTGATCTTAGAAGTCTTGGATTTACATCTATGACTGAAAATGCCTATGCGTCTGCCATCTTTTCTCTTTTGAAGGTTCGCACACTTTTTATTATGCATAGATGTCTGGTGTAGTTTATTCACTTTATTTAAGTTTCATTGTCCTTTTGTTATCAATATCATTTCTGATGACCACTTTCTATATTGATGTAATATAAATACTTAATCTACTAAGAACTACTTTTTCTTCTGACATGCATATCATCTTTATTTAATTTATATTTTCATTTTCATATTGGATAAAGTATGTTTCTTTGTTTGAATGGCAGGCTAAAGTTCATAATCTGGCTGGCGAAGATTACAGGAATTCTGTTTTGGAGTCCATTAAAGGGTGGATAAAGGTTCTTCTTAGCATTTTCTCACCATATATTTGGGGATTCTTAACTGCATCACCTTAATTATTTGTCTTTATAGTTTGAAGTATATCTTTGAAATAATAAATGTTGTCAGCAATTCATGAAATTGGCTTTTACATTGTCAGTCTAGTATGTTACGTCATAGAGACTCATCAAGTCATTTTGGGTAATGTCATTCATTAACAAAATGACTAAGCTCTTATTAAGGTATTTGTAAGGCTATGTTGTTTGATTGACTGAAGAGAGTAACATCATACCATACCTATGTTTAATATTTCCTTCTCCTTTTCATCCCCGTGCACCAGTTCAAATAACTTAAAGGTGCTGATTTAAAAGGTTATTTATTCTTTGGTTTTCTTTATTCAGCTTCTTAAACTTCCATTTAGCATTCTCTCTAGTTAAGTTTATATTATCATGTGATGGTTAGATGACTTCTCTTACCTTGAGGTGCTTTGCACAGGTTGTACCTCTTCAATTCTTGAATGCACTTCTTGCTTATCTTGGTGACTCAATTGGTTATGATACTCCTTCATCTGGTCTGAAATCACCTTTAGCTTCACACCTGTCTACTTGCTCTTCTGAAATTGACACTCCTTCAGAAGGGCTCATCAGATGGCAATTGCGGCTAGAGTATTTTGCTTATGAAACATTGCAAGATTTAAGGATAGCCAAGCTATTTGAGATTATTGTGGATTACCCTGAGAGGTAATTCTTCATCTAATTTCTCTCACAAATTCTTAACTGTAGTTAAACTATAGAAGATCCAATAATGGCTAACTGGTCTGGCATTATAGTTTCATTTCAATTGGGGGAGAATTAAGTGCTGAGAACTGCATTCTACGTTAGACTAGAACACAAGTGCAGTAAAATGGGTGTAAGTGTTTTATACAATTACTTGAAGAACCCAAATAAGTGATAACGGTTGTCATCATGTTAGTAACAAATGTACACAGGACAGCTGTTGCATAATGGAACATCATTTTAAGTAACTATATTTTGCACTTGGATTTAAATTTTTCCATATAATTATTCGACTGTATTAAGTTGTACATTATTGGTGTAAATAGAGTTGAAATGATGAGTGAATTTTAATTAAAATTAGTTATTGTTATTTAGTGTAGATATTGTTATTTAGTGGCGTCATTGTTTCTGCATGATGTGGTTTAGGTTTGATCTGTTTTCTTTTGCAACATTCATATGTTTTATGTATTTGAATGGAGTATATCTTGGTGGAAATTGACCTTGGTTAGGCGAATGATTTTTATATTCTTTATGCTTGATGACTGCTGTTGCATACCACATAAATGCATTTTCTGTGGTAATTGTGTTACATTGTGCAATTTTTGCAATTTGCATGTAAACCATGAATAACTCCTTTTGTGGCACAAATTGGTAGCAGAGCAAAATGAAATCATATAATATGAGGTGTTTTCCTACCTCTCTATAAGCAGTATATTTAGTCTTATCATAATGTTGTTGGGCATTTAATGTATCAGAATTATTATTTGATTGTTGTAGTTCTCCTGCCATTGAAGACTTAAAGCAGTGTCTTGAATATACTGGACAACATTCTAAACTCGTTGAGTCTTTTATTTCTGCACTCAAGTATCGCTTGCTCACTGCGGGTGCCTCAACCAATGATATATTGCATCAGTATGTTTCAACTATTAAAGCTCTTCGAACTATCGACCCAACTGGTGTTTTTCTTGAAGCAGTTGGTGAACCAATAAGGGACTACTTGCGGGGAAGGAAAGATACCATAAAATGTATTGTAACCATGCTTACTGATGGGACTGGTGGGAATCCAAATGGATCTGCAAATACTGGGGATAGCCTTCTTGAAGAATTAAATAGAGATGAAGAAAATCAAGAGATTGCTGGCATTGATGATGATTTCAACTCTGATGACAAGCAAGCATGGATCAATGCTGCATGGTAAGTGTTGCTATCATTACTGTATTCACAATTGCTATGTTATTAGGCTTTTTGTGGGTTATGGGGTCAATATTGTTCAATTCAAGCTTACAAGACCGAGTATACCCTATTACATCACTTGCATGTTTTTCTGCACGAGCTCTGCATTTACAGCTGGGAGCCTGACCCTGTAGAAGCTGACCCCTTGAAGGGTAGTCGGAATCGAAGGAAAGTGGACATACTTGGCATGATTGTCAGTATAATTGGTTCAAAGGATCAACTTGTCAATGAATATCGTGTTATGCTGGCAGAAAAACTTCTGAACAAATCTGATTATGACATTGACTCGGAGATACGCACTTTAGAACTCCTCAAGGTAAGTGGTTTGAATATCAAACATCTCTAGTGCTTTTTTATTCAATTTGTGTGAACTGGGTGAAGTCATGTTTTAGTTTTGTTGTGATATGTTCATCCCTGGACCACTTAAAGTGCATTATTTTTGTTGTATTGTCATTATCCAGATACATTTTGGAGAGAGCAGCATGCAGAAGTGTGAAATTATGTTGAATGATTTGATTGATTCAAAGAGGACAAATACAAATATTAAATTAACCGCTGCCAAGCAATCTCAAACAGGTATGTTTTGTATTTGTAAAGAGTGTTGCCTATCGTGGAGCTTTTGGGGCTCCCCTTGTGATGATTTCTGAAACACCAAATTGTTTAAGAATAATAATAAAATGGATAAAAATCTTTTGAAATTTTCTGAGTAACTTCAGTGAATGTATTCTTAGGTGCTGAGCTGGGGGAGGATGCAGTATCTCTGGATATTCTTGATGCGACAATCATATCATCAAATTTCTGGCCTCCAATGCAGGTGTAGATAATTATAGTTCTTACAATGATCTCAATCATTACTTTAACTGATAAGAAATATTATTAACAGAATTCCTTATGATGGGAAAGGATAGAGGTAGTGGAAAAAATGTATTATCTTAAGCTGTTGTTTTGGGGGGTGGGGGGTAGGGGGCTTGAAATAACAGATATGGCATCTATGGCATGTTCTAGAAGCTCAAGGCGCCTCAAGACACCATTCCATGTGGTTCCCTGGTGGAATATAAAAATTATTCATTCGCTTAACTGATTGACAACTCCACTGCAAATCTTATCTTTGCTACTAAACTTTCTTCTGCAATACACTTTGTCTTGGCTCATATGAATTCAGCATGTTTGCATTTTTTAATCTGCCATTCACAATTTACTTTACATTTCCAGATCAAGATTTTTCTGCAACAATAACTTTTCTATCTAAGTATGTCTCTTTGCGCTTTACCTGATCTTTAAGAGAATTTCAGGATGAAGCCCTTATTGTACCTGAGCCTGTTGACAAGCTTTTTTCAGATTATGCAAAAAGGTTTAACGAAATCAAGACCCCTCGTAAGCTACTCTGGAAGAAAAATCTTGGTACAGTAAAGGTTGGTTTCCTCATATTTATACAATGTTCAGTGATGCCAATATGAATGATTATTTTTTATGGTTTCACCATTGTTTAAACCCGGAAGAAGTTTTTTTCCAAATAAAAAGTTCACTCTTTTTATCATGGGTATGCTGTTTCAGTTGGAGTTGCAATTTGAAGATAGAACAACGCTGTTCACGGTGGCTCCCTTACATGCTGCCATTATTATGCAATTTCAGGAACAAAAAAGGTAACTTCAGGAATTATCTTCATTTACTGTGTTTTTTGCTGATGAATTGATAGTATGACATTGTTATTCTACTGTCAGTTGGACTTCTAAGAATCTTGCTGCTGCTGTTGGGTTACCAGAGGATGTACTGAATAGAAGGATAAACTTTTGGATAAGCAAGGTTTGTTTAAGCTTCTAATATATTTCACAATCTAATTTTACTCTGTTAAAATCCCCTCTTTATTTTTTCTTCTTTTCTCTTCTTAGACCTTGTGTTTAGCTTTGATTGAAACCCCTGCCTGATGACAGTCAAGTTGAAGAAGGATACATACTTTCAATTAATTCTTTTTTCTCAACTAGGGTAAAAGTATCTTATTCTCCTGTTAGACACTGTTAGTTTACTAGTTAGCTTCATTTCCTGACACTTCACATTATAACTTGAATACTAAAGGTTACTCAATCATTTATTTGATTTTTAACTCAGTAGAAGTGTGTACTAGAAGAAGGTTCATATCAGTTTCACTGATTAAGGGAAGCTTTCTTCGTTATCTGCTTGAGTCCATTGGCATGAATCTTCATTTTTGGTCTTGTGATCATTGTGATTTATGAATCATCTAATTATTCACTTCGATATAGATCCAACTGTATATCTCTTCACCACAACTAGGTGGCAGTGCCCAATTAGTACTGAGCTGGCTTTTATGGAAGCTTCACTAACACATATGAAAATTTCCAAGAACTGTAAGTAAGGTGGTTAATTAATAACTTCTTACATCCAGGGAATCCTTTCAGAATCAGTGGGTACAGACTCTAATGATCACATATATACGCTAGTGGAAGGCATGGTTGACAGTAGTAAGAATGGTGGCAATAGTGGGAGTTGCGAAGAGCTCCTAGTGGGTGATGATGAGGGAGAAAGCACTGTTGCCTCAGTTGAGGATCAAATACGTAATGAAATGACTGTATACGAGGTAGGTGATTTGATGCAAATATTCTTTATATGCTATTGTTGTTACAAACGATTGTTGTGATATATATATATATGGTAGAACTTCTCTATAGTGATATTCTATATAGGTATAACTTCTATGTAATCATACAAAATTCTGATCCCAACTTGGGTTAATTATAATTAAGAATAAACTCCACATCATAATAAATTATAATTAGTCTAGGTCCGGAACTTGCCTCACATAGTAATAATTATTAGTATATTGCAAAAAATATATACTATGCTACATTAAAGGTTTAAGATGAAATAAAATATTTATTCAAAATTGTTTGAGACATTTGAATTGGTTGAAGATTGCATGGTTTATGTTATAGTACAATGTATTTATAGAATTTACATTGAGAGAAAAACATTAAAAAGAATGCAAAATTTTACACTTTTAAGATGACTTTGCATATTCCCAACACTACATAGATACATATACTAGTTTTTTGAAACTATGTGTGTCTCTTTTATCAATGTCTATACCTTGGATTTGATATGCTCCATTAATTAATTATTAATGTAGTGTATACTTTACCTCCATACCACTTGCATTAAGAATAATTAAGTCAAAATCAATAATTTTTGTAACTGCACCTCTATTAAATTATAACTTCTTCATAGTAATAAAATTAGTTTGATATATATATATATGTTCATGATGATTTATGATTTTCATTCTCATATAAATTGGAAGCATGGACTTAAAAGATAAACTAGCCATTTCATCATGGCTTATATGTCCTTAAAGACTTACGCGTATATAATTTTTTTTTTCTGACTCATTTAAGTTCAAGTAATCTATCAAGTTGAATAGAAAGTTCTCCACATGGCACTCTCATACTGTTTGGTAAATTTTGAATTTGGTTTGGTTGTTACCTTGAGGCAGGATCAGGGGAAACTTTTTCCCAATCTTCGTGAAATTCTTCAATTACCCTTTAGATTCCAAGGACATTTTTAAGTTCCAAATATTTACTTGATATTTGCTGGTAAAATTTATGCTAACTACACCACTACTCATGGTCCTATCTCTCACACCCCCTTCCACCCGCTACTCCAACCCAGCCTCCTGCCCCTTTCCAGCTTATCTTTAGATTCTGGCTCTGCCTCAGCCCACATCATTGCCACATCAATTGTAGCACTATGGCAGTTGCCAGCCCTATGCTGCACTTAGAGTCTGCACATATAGAGAAATGATTGCTCTGAGAATGTGAAAAACAAATGATAATTTTATGAGCTGGATAATAGTATGGTCATTTAAGAAAATATTGAAATATAAATGAGCTCAATTGTACTTTGCACATTTGAACTTCTCCATTTTGACTATTGTCAAACCTTTCTAAGTCATATCCGGTTTATTGTAGAAATTCATCTTGGGAATGCTCACAAATTTTGGTAGCATGGCATTAGATCGAATTCACAATACTCTCAAGGTAAGAATGGTTTTGACATATCCTCATAATCAGAATATCAAATAAATTCAATTGATAAATTACAAGACACATGTTCCAGATGTTTTGTGTAGCTGATCCTCCTTATGATAAGTCACTCCAACAACTGCAAAGCTTTTTATCTGGACTTGCGTCTGAAGAGAAGTTGGAACTTAGAGATGGAATGTACTTTCTGAAGAAGTAATTAAGTAAAGAATTTTATTACATCCAAGTCCTGTTGCACAGGTGAGATTCTTTGAGAGAACTTTTGGTCGTAGATTTGAAATTTCTCCTCCTTATCTCTTTAATTATGAGAAAGATATTGCGTTGATGAGATGGCTATACCAAGGGAGTTTTTGGTTGTCACAGACTCTTATGGTAGAGGTAGCTTTCTGAGGGCAGGGCAGCTTCATGGCAAGCTTGTGTTCCCAGTATTTAGTTGGGATGGCCTTTTTCATCAGTAATGACTTACGCGAGTTTGGAGCATTTTGGTGGCTTTCCATATTTAGTTGGAAGTATTCTCGGAAATACCCTAGATTGAAGAAGATTTCTTCGTCGTTTTTCTAACCGAAGACAATACTCGGAGGCACACATACTCAAGGATCCAGTGATTGACTGTAAAAGAAGCTTTCCGTGTTTTAAGATGCTGTAAATTGCTGTTTATGATGTTTCCCTCTTTAGTATTCAATTAGTTCAACTTTACAATTCAGAGGGGAAGGTATTATGCTGTGAATTGTATAATGTAGACTGCTATTTCTTATTGCCTCATCGGATAGACGGTAGTGTCTTCTCAAGACCACCTGGCCTCCGTCGCTTCAACATTGTTTTTGTATGATCTATTAGCTATATTTCTTGTTTCCTTGAATGCAAGTTTCTCCCCCAAGCACATTTTTTGTCGAGCGGCAATAATGTTGTATCAACAAAGGGCATTGCGGAAAGCATGGTGCATGTCAAAATAGGGGAAGGCAAATGGAGGATAACAAGAACCAAAGGTAAAAGTATATTTTGATTTACATGACATATTTCTTGAACTTGAATTCTAAGTTGTGCATAACTGATGTGATGCGACTTTAATTTGGAAATATTGTGGATAATATACTAGCAAAGTAAATGGCATGACAATTTCACATGGAAAATATAAAATTTGTTACTACTTGACCAGCAAGGCAAGATTCTCAGGGGTCAAATGAGATTGTCATCAATTACTTCATTCAATTCGTCTGCATCTTAACATCAAAACTGTATGCCTCTTTTTGTGCCCTAAAATCTCTGAAACTTTTGACATTTCTTGAAATTGCTAGATGCAAATCTCTCAGAAAAATGGTTCAGTTTCTAATCATCAGCCGTAGTGTCTCAAGTAGTTGCGAGAGGCAGTCCCATTACTAGCTTTCTATCACTACTCAGTAGTCTCTTCTCTCCGTTTAAAGTTGTAGGCTTGTAGCCCATTAGATGTATCAAACAAAGGGTTTTTTATTTTCTTTTATTGTAAACCTACGTGCATTTGAACTTTTTGTAGTAAGTATAATAGTATATGTTGGTAATCCTAAACTCGTGTGTTTCATCCTTTTTTATAGTGGTTACTTGTTGGTTTTAGAAATACGATCCTAACTCTCATGTGTTTGACCTTTTTTTTAGTGAGTACTTGTTTTAAATAATATCTTTAATTCAACCTTCAAATTTATTAACAATTTCATCAATTTAACCTCTAAAAAATATAAGAACTTCTCTATATTGTTGATAGATTTTGGATGTTATATTGATTGAATTTAGGTGAATAGTAAAAATATCATTTCCTTTTGACTAAATAGAAAACAAGAGTTTAAAACATCTCCAATAGTACTCTTTACTTTAAAGAGCATTTTTCATATAAATAAAAAATATTTTTATTAATTTATAAATATAAAAAATAAATTTTTTATTCAAATTCAATGCACTCTTTAAATTTAATGAATATGTTTTTTATTTTTAATAAAGAGATTTATCAGAAGAGAGAGTTAATAAATAAAATGTATAGAAACTTGTAGTTTATAAATTAAAATTAGGATAAAGAGTGAAATTTGATTATCTCGACGTGGAAAGTCAAACTCACTTTTTAATTTATATTTAAAGAATAAAAAGTCTATTGAACTCTTGTTTTTAATTTATGGATAAACTCTTTATAATAAAGAGTTTGAATCATATAAAGAGTCTTTTAGAGATGCTCTTAAGGTTGCATTTTCAAAATCAATGAATGCCTCACTATAAAAAAGACCAAACGTTTAGGGATTAGACTCGCATTTCTGAAATGAGCGGATGCTTATAAGAAAAAGCTCAAACACACCGAGTTTATTATAAAGAATTTATCAAACAAACGCATGAGGGTTTACTATAAAGAACATATAATGAAAAAAAATTAATCCCGCAACATGTATAAATATAAGCCAACAGATATTGTACCATCTTCACAATTTACAATACATACAAACAATCAATACTCCTAGACCAGATCCTATGGTAGAAAGATTAAAGAGCATAACTAGCTGAACTAGTTAGTAGCCATCGGGTCTTTTGAGATCTTTCGAGGTTAATAATGGCATTAAAAAAAATAAAGAATAATAGCATCAAGATTTCTGTTGGTCCTGTTTAACACGCTGAAATTTGTTATTCCGAACTGGGGAGGTGATACAAGATATTTACTTTATCTTGCAATTGATTACGACATATGCTCAGAAGTGGCTACAAATTGAGTTGTGAAATTCGTCATGTCTTATTTAGCGGGTTTGCTACGCTGTATAGGACAGGACAAGATCTCCTAATGGCTAACCTCAAGGGTTTGTTTAGTGATCATGAAAGTTTGCTTCCTTCATTTACTTTCTGGTTTGAATCACCTTAAAATATTAGACTTGTAGAACATTCAATAATTGGAAGATTGATTTAGGTGTATCAAAAAAAAAAGATATGTTAAGGCTGCATTATTTCATTTAGCCAAGTATTTGATATTTTGATTCATTTTTTATGTCATTTCATTTATGGCAAGAGATTTGTACTGTATTGTTTCTTTTTGGATTTTTTGGGGTTAAGTTAACCACTTAAATAGTTTTATATAGAACGGTAAGTTATCATTTGTACATTTATAAATTATAAGTTGTTTTAAAACATTCAACCATTTATATAAAAATAATATTATTTATACAAACTCTTTATATAAACTATTTCATACAATCTTATGTGATATAAAATGAATATATGAATATATGTAAAAAGTCAACTCATTAAATGCTCAACAATTTAGGTGAATGATGTGTCAATTAAAGAGTGATAACACATAAAGTTGTATGAAAAAAAGTTTGTACAAATAGTATTACTTTATTTTTGAATGTCACACAGAAGGATTTTCATAATAAAAAAAAAATTAATTGTATCAAATTGGAGAATTCTTCTTGGTGATTTCAAATAGTAGAATTTATTAGACGATAAGGATAACAGTGTTCCTATCAAATTCTTCAACACCAAACCGCAAAGTCCTACCATCAAAGCTAATAAATTTTCCCATTTTTAGCTCAAACAGAAGAATTAATAAAAAAAAATCCCGGCATGGCCGTTGCCGTTGGAGAATATAAAAAGTAAAAAAAAAAAAATTATGTTTGTAATATGACCGTTACAAAACCTCAATTTTAAATCTACGCATAAGCATTACCTTTCAAAGACTCGAAAGAGATCTTACACTCACCAGCCACCATGAGAGACGAAGAACAGCAGCTCGAAACTGCAGAAGAGCTGATGCAACAGCTGAGATCAAAAGCTACCGAGCTCCTCCTCAGAGAAGAATGGGAACAGTCCGTACAAGTCTACTCTCACTTCATCAATCTCTGCCAACAACAAATCGTAAAAGCAACCCATGATTCAGCTCAACTTTCCAAACTCAATAAATCCCTCTGTTTAGCTTTCTCCAACAGAGCCGAGGCACGGTCGAGGTTGCGAGATTTCAATGAAGCACTGGTAGATTGTGAAGAAGCATTGAAAATAGAGACTACCCATTTCAAGGCTCTGCTCTGCAAAGGTAAAATATTGCTTAGTTTGAATAGATACTCCATGGCTTTGGATTGCTTTAGAGCCACTCTAATGGAGGCCCACGCTAGTGGAAATCTTGAATCTGTTAATGGATTTTTGGAGAAATGCAAGAAGCTTGAATATCAATCAAGAACGGGTGCTTTTGATCTCTCAAATTGGATCTTAAATGGGTTTCATGGAAAATCTCCGGAATTGGCTGAATACATTGGTCCTGTGAGGATAAAGAAATCCGAGATTAGTGGACGAGGCCTCTTTGTGACAAAGAATATTGATGCTGGGACTTTGGTTTTAGTCACTAAAGCCATAGCCACTGAGAGAGGTATATTGTCCGATGAAGATTCAAGTGAGAAGGTGCAACTTGTTATGTGGAAGAATTTCATTGATAAAGTTAAGGAACGTATTTCAAAAAGTCAAAGGACTCACCACTTGATTAGTACATTATCTAGTGGTGAAAATGAGGATGAGCTAGATGTTCCTGATACCTGTCTGTTTAAACCTGAGACAGAAGAGAGTAGCCACTCAACTCAGGAGATTGATATGGGTAGGATTTTGAGCATTTTGGATGTGAATTCTCTTGTGGAGAATGCAGTTTCGGCAAAAGTTTTGGGGAAGAACAGAGGTCTTTATGGTGTTGGGTTATGGATTCTAGCTTCATTCATAAACCATTCTTGTAGTGGTAATGCAAGGCGCACACATGTGGGTGACAATATCATAGTTCATGTTTCTAGGGATGTGAAGGCAGGTGAAGAGATCACATTTGCGTATTTTGACACGCTTGTACCACTGGAGAAACGTAAGGAAATGTCCCAGTCTTGGGGGTTTAATTGCTGTTGTAAGAGGTGCAAGTTTGAGGAAGGAATGAGTTCAAAGTCAAAGCAAGAGTTGAGGGAGATCGAAATGGGAGTTGAAAGAGGAATGGATGTAGGAAGTGCAGTTTATAGAATGGAGGAGAATGTGAAAAGATGGATAGTAAGAGGGAAAGAGAAAGGGTATTTGAGGGCATCATTCTGGAAAGCATATAGTGAGACATATGGAACGGAGAGGTTGATGAAGAGGTGGGGAAGACGAATTCCAGCAGTGGAAGTTGCGGTAGATAGTGTTGCTGAAACTGTGGGTAGTGATGAGAGGTTGTTGAAGGTTTTGAAGACAAATGGTAGTGGAATGGTTGAGATGGAGAGAGCAACCAAGTTAGCAAAGGGTGTGTATGGAAAGTTGGTGAAAAAGCAAGCATTGAGATCNGCATCATTCTGGAAAGCATATAGTGAGACATATGGAACGGAGAGGTTGATGAAGAGGTGGGGAAGACGAATTCCAGCAGTGGAAGTTGCGGTAGATAGTGTTGCTGAAACTGTGGGTAGTGATGAGAGGTTGTTGAAGGTTTTGAAGACAAATGGTAGTGGAATGGTTGAGATGGAGAGAGCAACCAAGTTAGCAAAGGGTGTGTATGGAAAGTTGGTGAAAAAGCAAGCATTGAGATCTCTTCTTGAGATGGACATTTGTTAACGTTTGTTTACTTGTGAGCTCTTTTTCATTCATCTTGTACACAATTTTGTGACCAACAACAATAATTTGCTCTCTCAAATGTGTAAATTGATTCCGCATTGTTAGGGCTGGTTATATCCTTCTTTCTCTTTTTTGATTCTACTAACTAGTAGAGTAACTTTGTCTTCTCTTCTATCAAGAGATCGACAAACCAAATTTCCCACGGCGAGCCATGGCCTAAACCATCTTGTTCATAGTTTTTGTTAGGCGAAAATCTAGGCCAACGAGTGGCCAAAAGATATTGAAGCTATCGCACTAGAAAATAATTTATTTGTCATCTTTATAATATTTTTATAGTCATTGGTATGAAACATGGTAGTGAAAAACAACAATAGCAAGAACTATAAAAAGGTGAAATGTGTGGTATAACTGCAATTCAGAAGTTCACTTAAAAATAAAAACCAAACATCTCTAGACCTCAGATGTTGGACATTCTCACTAACTTATTATAAAGAATGCGGTCATCTCTGCCAGTGTTGCTCTCAAGTAATGCACTTTGCACAAGTTCCTAATTCACCACAGTTCCAAAACATGAGTTATGAGTACCATAATAGGAATTTATATTTATATTTAAAAAAGAAATTGGAAGTGCCAGAAAGAAGTTTGCTGAATTCAAATTCTCACCTTGACATCCCTGTGAGAAAGGAACTTCCCCAAGTTATGGATAATCAACCTCATGTCTTCAACCTGAAAAGGCAAAAAATACACTTTACAACTCTTCATCGTGATTTAACTGGACAACATAAGCAAAAGTTTTACTCACCCGTATGTAGCCGACTAGATTCCGGTCAAAAAACCTGAAAGCCTGCAGCAGATAAGAATAGTCATTAAGTGAAGAACAAATACCCCTACTTACATGTTTAACTACTCGTATGGAGGACAGAAGGAGAAGATTTGGAAGTTTTCAGGAAAATACCTGTAATAGTTCCTTATCAACATCCTCTTTCTTCCCTGTCTCTACCTTTCTCCCCCTTTTTTCATCCCTATCTACATCAGACAAGTGTTTTGTCTCTGTATCTTCCATTTTAGTTTGCTCCTTGGTACATACATCAGCTTCATCCTTCAAATTCTCAGCATCCTTACTAGGCTCAGCATTTGCATCCGTTTTATCATTTTCTTCATCATTCTGTAGTAAAAGACGTTCCCAAACTTTTTAGTGAAAGGTTATTCAATAGCATTGACCAAATATTCAATTCTAAATTAAATATACCACTCACCAATTACATAGTAATTAATCAAAGTCCTCTAATGAAAATAACAAAAATGTGTGGTAAAAACGTCAATGAAAGGTGTTATAATTAAAAAGTAAATCTACGTCCCAGGGTGTAACTCTTTCTTGACAGAATATGTATACACCTTGAACATTCCGAATTGATTAAAGAGTATTAAAAGAACATTTTTCTTAATATTAACACATACATTGAAATTAATTAAAAAAAATGGAAAGAAACTAGAAATACCGACCTCATCAGAAGAGTTCTGTTGAGAACTAGCATCTTCCATTTCTTCACATTCTTCAGGATCTTCCTCGGGATCTTCCTCATCTTCGGATTCCACATTTAACTTTGCCTCACCAACATGATCAACAGAAATTTCTTTCTTTACCATAGTTTTTTCATCATCTGGTTGCACCGTATTTGTTGCTTCAGAATCTGTATTCTTATTTTTCAAGGTAAGCTCAATTGTTTTCGGACGCTTTACTGGTGATGTTTTTTCATTTTCCTTCAGCTGGACTTCATCTCGTTGCCTCTTACGTTGATTCCTTTTGGCCAGAAATTGAATGCGTAGTCTCTAAACAAGCGCAGTGATAAGATGCCTATTATAAGGAATTAAATTATATAAATCTAAAGAATAAGTCAAAAACAAACCTCGAGAAATGCTAAAAGACGACAACCCATTTGATACTGAAGCCTTTCATACAGCGTTTCTGCAAATAATGAAAGCTAAAAACACAAAAAAAACATTGTTGGCATCAGAAAAACCTGCTAATTCATTTCAAGTACTTTGGAAGCCAGATAGAATACACTGGAGGCTCAAGGCAGCAAAAAGTGAAAACAAGAAAACCTACCTCAAAAGAGGATTCTTCAATGTCCTTGTCAGTATAGTCCAGAAGTGAATCCAGAGAGAGTGACAAAGAACGCAACTGTAGCAGTAGGAACACACAATTAGATAACATGTACAAGCATTATATTAGATAAAATGCACATGCAGAATATTTACCACTGTTCATAAATCATAATCTACGTACTTTAGAATCCTTGTTCCATTTAGTCTGCAGAATCAATCCAGGATGGCGAGGAGGTTCCTCAGGCTTTCTCTTTTCTTTCACTTCTCTAGAATTACTTCTAGAGTCAGCTTTGCCATCTATGTCCTTCTGTGCTTTTTCATCTTTTAATTTTTCCACTTCTTTAGATTTTATCCTGTTCCCATTATAGTTATCCTTCAGAGAACCTTTATCCTTCCCAGCCTCAGTCTCTGCATCAGCTCCCTTTCCATCTTTCTTATCCTCCTTTACGTCCTTGATTTCTGTTTTACTTAAATTAGTCACACCAGCTTGTTTCTCTGTTTTCTTAACCTTGCTTAGCTCGTTCTCTGCATCAGCTGCCTGCCTCCCTGCATTTTCTGATTCGTTCTGTGCCTCAGGTACCTTCCTCTGATCCCCATCGTCATCTATCTTACTGTCACCAACCGCATCACTAGCTTTTCCAGTGACCTTCCTTTTCAGCACCCTCTTAATTATTTTTTTCTTTCTGGTTGTTTTCACAGTGGTATCTTGCAGAGCTGCAGTGCTGCTGGGATCTGAATTATCCTCTGGTTTATCATCAGAAAAACCCATTTCCTCCTTGGCTTTCACCTCAAGCTGGATGCCTTTGTCTTCATCCTGAGTAGTTTTCCCCATCGGTACCTTTTTCACAACCTTCTTCCGAGCAAAAGTTTTAACTCCAGCAGGTTCAGCTGCAGGTTCTTCCTGTTGACCTGAGTTCTCTGATTTTGCATTATTCTCATCCAGCTTTTCATTCTGGATGCTGTCAGAATTCTCCAAACCTGCTGCCTTATCAGTGACCTTCTGCTTGACAATCCGCCTAATAATCTTTCTCTTCCCAGGCTTTACACTGCCAGCTGTCTGAGCACCAGCAGTTTCTCCCTGTTCTTTTCTCTCAATATTTTTGGCACCCACACCTGATTCACTGCCATCTGTTTTTTCAACTTTCTTGTTACTCCCATAACCTTTCTGGTTAGCTGCATTACCTTTCATATTTGAGCCACCTTTTTCATTTTTGTTAATATCAACTGCCTGTCCAGAAGATGATGACTCTTTCTTTTTTTCAGATTTGTCCATCCTTTCAACATTTTTTGAAGAGTCCATTTCTTTATCTGAATTTTCAATTTAAACAAAGAATATACAAAACATTGTTTAGTGATCCATCTTGGTCATTGACACAAACAGCAAAATTATGAATGGCAATGCACTAAGAAGGAATCCACATACTGCATTTACCTTTCAGTCCATCCTTCTTCTCCCTAGATCTCTGTAAGAATAGAATATTTTTATATTAGCAATGTAAACATAACCATCATGCTCATGCTTCCTTTTCTTTCTAAAAGGGTTTGCGAAAAGAAAAAAGCAATCAACAGTAACTAAACCAACCTGTTATAAGGTTCCTACCCTGTTAGGAACCTTCAACTTATACTACAATGTGTTCAACTTGAACAATGCATGCAAAAAAGAGTTAAACACAAATAAACAAGGATGACATAGGGGCCATTTGATTCTGGTTTCTATTCCAAATTCCAAAGTATAACACATTTACTATAATTATTCTTGTGGTACCCATTTCACGGGCATCAGAGTTGTGCCAACTTCAATAGTTTTTTTCTTGGTCGATTATTTCAACAATTCCACTCTCATGATTGTTAACCAGATCAACATTATGTTCCCTGGAAATCCCTATTGGCATCTAGCTTAACCTAAAGTGGGGTCATGTACCAAAAATCGATGGTAAAAAATTTTTATGAACATTTGAATGGCACACTTGACTACCTAACAAAAAAAAATTCTGAACACTGTGTCAGGACATGCATACAATAATAACATGTGCACTCATGTAACTACGTTTGTATTTGTGTCTATCTGGGTATTAATTTCATTTCCTTAAACAACTGAGCATTAGAATATATTGACAGACAATACAGTTCCAAAAGCTGAGACCAACAAACCTCTTTTCTCAAAGAAAGTTGACGTTCTCTCTCAGCAATGGCCTTCTTGTGAGCAAGCCATTGTGCTCGCCATGCATCCAATGAAGGAAGACATTCGGACAAATCTGGAACAAACAATACAGTCACCTCTTTATGGCTAAACAGCCCATCCTTGCCAACTCTATCATAGTGTATCTGCAGTTTTCCCAGTAAAGAAGCAATTGAAATTAGCTTCCTAACATAATGCTGCGCCCCCCCGGGGATGCATACACAAAGTTTAATTCAAGTAATTATCACTAAGAAGAAACAAGAAGCTACCTCAACAAACCGATTCCAATTACGACAATTCTGCAAATCAAGTTGAGCCACATCCTTTGCATATCTACAAAGTAAATATCAAAAGTGCAGTTGATAAAAGCATCACATTCATATATTTCAATACAATCAAGAAAGAAGCAAATAAACTAACCTAATGGCTGTTTGAACTAGAGAGGAATCATCAACCGAAGGGTGCCTGCCATCAGCAAAATGCCATGGTCCACCAATTGCCATAAAAGAGTGATCCTTCTTAAGAACAGCAAACCTAAGGATATTGCAAATATGGGGTATGCGGTCATCAGAACTCTTTTCAGATGACAGCTCTTCAAGAGCATTCCTACTAAGTCCGCTCATCAGAATGATCTGAAACAGTGAGACAAATATTATTACTCTAAAATAACAGACCATTGAAACAGTTATGAACATTAAAGCACAACAAAATACTCAGAGTACAAAATTTTTATAAAATTAAAATCATGCATCCATCATTACAAAAGAAAGAAAAAAACTATTAACATTATACACATAAAGATGTAATTTAATGCAGAAAAAACTATTAACTTTATACACATAAAAATGTAATTTAATGCAGTGGCTAAAACAACTGTCACATGTTGTATAACCAGGAAGCCCAAAACGAGCATTGTCAAATGTAGAAGACAAATGGATACGTACAAGCAGCTCTGCTAGATCAAAAAGAGACTAGTAAAGGGGATTCAACTTGTATCAATTGCTCAAGTAGAATAAGGGATGATAGAAAGTAACTTCAAATGCAAAGGAAGTCTTCCCTTATATCCAAAACAAAAATATGAAATGAAATATTGCATTTATATGTGTAATGTAAATGGTTTCTCCATAAAAAAGAAAAAATAAAGAAAGAAAGAAAGAAAGAAAGAAAAAAGCATCATTTTCAAAACAGATTAAATTTGCGCTTACATCTTACACAACACATTTTACAAAATAACAGCAAGACTTCAACTACTTGCTTAAATCTCTTGGTTAGTTATTGCCCCCTTTCCACCCCTGAACCATCCTTCTAAGTTCTAGTTAGTCATTATAATCATTTGGCAAATAAGAAATGAAAGAAATTGCAGGGATTACCATAATGACTAAACCAAAATGAAAGTGTATCTAAGTTAAGATCAACCAATCCAGATTGCAGACCACATCGGTACCAGCAAATTGCACAATGAAGCAACAACGAATTAAGTATTGCCAATTCAACCCAGACAGTAAAATGTCATATGCTTAACTTCACAGATACTGTCCTATAGGCAATAATCAAACAAAATAACCAGTTCACTAGGAACACAAATAAAGTATGTTGCTCCACCAACCTTTTATTACAAATTTAAGGAACATGACATATGAATTCAAGATTCCATGCTTTTAGGAAAAAGCACCAACTCTTTTATTATAATAGTTATCTATTCATGGCTAAACAAACCATAAATAGCATTAAAAATGACCAATTTAAATCTAATGATTGCTCAACAAATAAAACAAAATATAATATCCAACTAAACTCCATCAAAAATGATCTCAACTTAGGCTGAAGAACATTGTCAAAAGAAAAACTCCATATTGAGGATTATATCACATCATTTTGGGGTCAACTTTTCATGCAATGCAAGAATGAATCAGGTGCACTGAAAATACAAAAAATTATAAACAAATCTACCTTAGCATTCCATACTGTACTTCCATTTTCTGATAATGCCAGTTCTTCAGTCAAAGGCTTGATTGAAGGCTCTTTCGGGTCAACTACACTCTCTTCTTCAATGAAATCATGCTCAAAACTGTCCACAGAAGGTATAGCAATATTATAATTTTCCTCCCTTATTAATGCTTCTATTCTTTTATACTTTCCCAAATATATTACAATGTTCATCAAGTTGGTTAAAGAAAAGTTTCAAAAAATAAATTCATTCCGAGATTTTAAAACTCATTCCTTTCCTGTGATTTTGTTCAGCAACCCAGTCAATCATTTACATTTACAAATATACAGAATTACGCTGGCAAGTATCATCAATTCTGTAGTTGAAAGCTAGAAAATAACCAGAAAAGATAAAAAATACAACACATTCCAATAAGCACAAAATAAATTAATGAAACCTATTTAGCAAATACAGCATGTAAGGGAATGATTACCTAACAGGAGTATGAATCGAGAGTTTAAGATCCTCCTTCGGCCAGTTCACAACAATCTAAAAGAATTGGAATGACAAGTTAACATCACTATTCAATTATCCAAACTTGATATCACATCCAACGAATATAGAATACAAACACATACCTTAGAAACTTCAGGAGAAACAAAAAGCTTGGGATATCTCTTATCTATTGATATATAATCTCTCTCCACATCTATCAAGCCAGATGAGTTAACCTGCAAGTGGATAGTATTATACACCAGCATAGATAAAACATACACATATTCAGTAAATTAAACATATACATGCATACTGCAAACAATTTGACTAATACAAGTATAGTACTGCTGTCACTTCACTTTTCTTACAAGGAAGATTCCTCAATCGCAATATCAGTAACAAATGCTACTAACAACTGTCCAGCCCATCTTAGAAAGCATAATACCACACAATTTCTGCATTCATGCTTTTGGAGGCTCTAAAAGTTTAGCAAGACCGTCCACCAAAAAAAAAAATGTTGATCAATGCACGTTTCATTGTGAAGGAAGAAGAAAAGAAGACGAAGAATAGGAGAAGTATTATAAGATGACAAGCCCTATTGGACAGAAGACAGAAAAAATCCCAAGAAGATGACATCAGACCTGAAGCCAAATGACCAGTCAGACAGTATATAAAAGAGGAGAACCCCACCTTAAACAAAAGAATAGGAATTTATCTATGCTGTAGAGATCTAAGCAAAAATGCTCAAACCTGAGCCAAAGTCCAAAAGGTAGCTTTTTAGAAAGAAAATCCCAAGTGAGAGGGACAATAAGAATGATCAAGATGAAATGCAAACCCCACAGAGAAAAGAGAAGATCCGTGAAGAGGAAGCAGTTCTTATTATCATCGCATGACGAAGCTCTTGTATTGTTTTTTTTACCTTGCAGACATATTCTCTCCTTTTTTCTTTAACAGGTGAATGACGCCTTCAGCATAACAGAAGAACAAGTTAGTTATGAGGGCTGCATGATACACAGGGAGCTACATATTCAGAACTACACAAGGACGTAAAATACAATATCAAGATCCACCTATGCAAAACTTCATGACGTGGTGAATCTCGCCGCAAGGATCTTCCCTCCTTTGTTAAAGAGGGACCACGGCGGTCCCTAGAGACTCTTGGTGGAGTTCGTTCACGCTTAGTTTCAATCCCACGTTTGCGCACTCGTTCTCTCTCCTTCCGACGCTCCAAAACACGTTCCCTTTCTCGTTCTCGTTCGCGTTCTCTTAGTCGTAGTCGTTCTCGTTCTCGCTCTCGCTCCTTCTCCCTCTCTCTTTCTTTATCTCGCTCACGTAAATGTTCACGACGACGTTCCTCTTCCCTTAGCTCGAACTCCCGAAGATAGCTTGCTCTGTCATCCTTGTGCTCATCAATCCTAGGATGACCACCACGTGAAAACATGCTACCAGGATAATCTGGGTCAATAGATGTGGCATGAAGTCCTTTTCCTGTTGCATAGTCCCTACCAGGAGGTAAACTCACTCCATAACCAGGGTTAGCAGAACTTTGTGGATACATGAGATCATCCACATTTCTCCTCGGAGCTGCCCCTAATATTGATGGAGCATGTTGTCCACTATATGAAGAACTAAGCAGAGATAAATTGCGAGGATCAGCATCCATTCTTCCTCCATAAGGCATAAGATCTTGAGTGGAATGACGACTAGCAGTACCCCTTGCTGCAAGATAATCAGCTTGTCTGCCAGAAATTTGTTAACACTCAGTGTAACAAGATATATATTACCATCCAGCACAGTTACCAATGAACTATCACCACAAGGGATAGACCAAGGATATCATTTAAAAGGAAAGGGGGACCTCGGCCATTCATTTACAGAAAAGGTTATTAACTGCAAGTGGTCACTGGGAGCTTATAAAAAGAAATCAAGCTTCATTTAAATTGGTCATGCAGTAAATATATATCACAAGAAAATACCTGGAGCCCCCGTCAAGAGAGGAAGATTGCAAGGATTGAGCTTTCAGCAATTGTTCTTGTCGAAGCAGTGATGCCTGATCAATGCGATCATACATCTCAGACTGACAACAACAGGAATGATTAAATTTCAGATTCCAAGTAAATTGTTAAAACAAGCCACAAGCAGATTATATTCAGAAAAGAGAACAGAAAATAACAAAAACTTCATAAAAGCCTGTCAAAAATGCAACACCTGATGCTGATGACCAAAACTGACAGTTTCAGCAAATCGTCCAGTAGATTCGCTTTGCAAGTCCCTTCCCATATAAGCACTCTGTCGCTCACCATATTGTCTTCTGTCAAATGCAGGATAGTCAGGGATCTTCTCTGCAAATATTTGATCACCTTTAACACCATATCCATGGCTTGATGATGAAACATAGTCACTAGATGCAAATTTAGGTGAATCTGGTATAGCTGATGCATAACCACCACGACCTTCCAAGGCTGATGGTCCAGTCCCTTTGACATTTATAGCAGGAACCTGCAAAAGAAAAGAATATCATAAAGTTGTGTATAATTAATAAATTATATACCTGAGTCAAACAGATGAATGCCAACAGTGCAATTGAAAATTACAGCTTTTATGGTTTTGAAGCATCACAAGCAAGTATAAAGGGGTCGTTTATCTGATAAAAGTGTTGAGATGATTTAATACTGAAATAAAATATATCAAAAATGAAATTTAACATATGGCATAAGGAATAAAAGGCAAGCTAGTAACATTCACAAACAAACAGAAACAAAAAGGTGGAACAGAACCCTGAACCATTAAACTAAGGTTTTATAGTTATTATGACCAGACCAACCCAACCGCCTGAAGACGAAGTCATTAATTATATCATTTTCAGGTTCAGTATTCTCATAAAACCATATGGGCAATAGCTCCTCTCAACGAAAGTCATAACGAAAATTTTCAACAGGTAACAGACAGCTGGTTGGGGTGTCAAAAGTACAAAGCACCTCAATTTAAAAATGTATTATACAGTAATACCAACTTATGTGGGAATTGATTTAGAAAGTTAATTCACTTATCACATCAGCCTATAATTAAGGAGATGCTGCAAATCAACTGTCAAATGGGTTTGAATATAAAGTTGGGTTCCCAACTTTGTCTACATAGCAATATTGTATATTGTATTATACTTCCTATATATACAAAGGTTTGCTTTTCTACATTTTGATATTTTCTTGATAATTAATTCTTTAAATGTATATTCAACATAATACAAAAGCAAGTTGACTACTTATCGCAGCAGTGCTAAGGTTATGATAACCATGTAAGCCTTCATTTCCATCAAAAACTATGCTAAGCTTTGATACAGCAACATAAAAAGAGATTTAGACAATGCAGTTAAAATGACTAACCTGTTGTGCCCCGCTTAAAGCAACAGAACCATAAACAGAGCTATACTGACCCCCATAATGAGGTGCAGCAGCAGTATGGCCTCTGTACCCACCAACTTCTGCCTCCTGAGAAGTACCTAGCATTGAGGAATGCCGAGATGACAAAGAAACTTGAGAGCTTCCCTCTGGCACTCCAACAGAACTCCCAGAATATCCAGGTCCCAACTGCATTATATAAATACATTAAAAAGAGGGACCAATTGATACCTTTAAATCCATGGTCCGTGACCACTCACAGGTTTTAACAGAGGGTCAATACATATTAAAATAAAGCAAATAAACATAACTTATTCAAGAATACAGCTTATTAGCGCATGTTTCACGATGGACAAAGTATTTATGTGTTTCTAATTGAGAAAATCATCAACAAAACTTTAACTACAACAAATAGCGGCATATCTCAATACTCAATGTCTATGCATATTGATTCGAAATAAACCCAAATTAAGTTTACGAGCTTTATTGAAATATAAATTAGTAACACATAAATAATTAATTAAACTTACAGTTTGTCCATAAGCAGATTGACCAGCATACGAGGCCTGCCCGTACGCATTACTCCCTCTAGATGAATACATGATACAACCAACACATGCAGTTAACAACAAAACCTGCATTAACAACAAAAGTGTCAATCAAACAAAGTATTTATTTTCCTTTTCTTTGCTTTTCTATCCACTATTTTGTAAATTCTTCTGCTTGTGCGTATTGGCATTCAAATTAGCGACAAAATAAAGAAGGAAGTCGAGAGTATTGAGTCGATCAGAAAAACAAAAACAAAAACGTTAATTGAATGATGAAACTTACTGTGATTGATTCACTGCGAAAGTTTTATGCTTCAATGGACAAAACAATAAAAACCCTAACATATAGGACGATAGTATTGACGACTAGATTAAAATAACGACTCTACTCAGGTTCGCGGCTTTAAGGGAGCGAGTTTGGGTTATCGGGTCGAGTTTGAAAGATTTTGGAATTGGGCTCATTTGTAGAAAATCTTGTCTGAAACCTGGGACCAAAGGGCTCCTACCAACACAAATTCCTTATACCCACCAAAGGTTAAAGGCAATTTAACCGTTAGTGATTTGGGTGCATTTAGTTGTAATCATATCGCAACTGTAGCCCAGGCCAGAGTTAAATTGGGTTAGAGGTGGACGATGATGGGTTTTGAAATCTGGCCGTGAAAACAAATTAAACATTTGGGTGGGTTTAGTAGGTCATATTGCATTGTATTAATTATTTTGGGCTTTTTTGGTTGCCTTTTTCATGTAAGCATCTGCTGGTTTTTAAACTACCCCCTAAACCCCATTTATTTGGTCATTTCTATGAGCACCCACTGGTTTTAAAAATACAATCTTAACTCCCATTTTTTTTTTATAGATAGTTGGGTTATTTTATTTAAATTTGAAGGAAAAAACATTTTTACCAAAATATTTCAAAAATGTTGAGAGATTAATATATTTTTTGGACGTTAAATTGATAAAACTGTTGATAGTTTTTTAAGGTTGAACTAAATCACTAATGACATTTTCAAAAATAGCAGATACTCAATACAAAAAATGCTCAATACGTGGGGCTAGGGATATTTTTAAAACTGGCAGATGCTAAAAAGAAAAGGTCAAGCACGCGGGTTTCACCGTTTCACTAAAAAAAAAAAAAAAAAAAATGCATTTTTTGGGATTGTGTTATATTAGTTAGGATTTTATCATGTTTGATGCAACATTATATTACATTCAAACACATTTTAACATTAATAAATTTAAATTTTATTATTAAGCTAATTTAAATTAAATTTATTTTAATATATAATTTTATGATTATATTTAGTTATAAAAATATATATCATAATTAATTTATTATTATTTTATAATAGTAATTTTAATTAGTTTAAAAGTTATTCACTACAATAATATCTATGCATAAAGGATATGGAAGAAAATATTAGTGTAGTACCGAAAGCTGGCAAACATGGGTTAAAAGGTTCTAAACAAAATAGAATTGTTTAGGGTATGTTCTTTATGAATTCATTTTATGTTAGATCTTTAATTTTTTCACGACAAACCAAATATATGATATTCGAAATCAATAATTCTTTTATTAGTCAAAACAATGACATTTTAAATTTTAATAAAAACTAAAATAAAATTTAAACATTACCAAACTTACTTTAATCTCTCTCTCTCTCTCTCTCTCTCTTTTTAAGTAATCTGAGCTAATTGTTGTAAAATTTTATTTTCTTATGGCACCCACAATTCCAGAAATATCCCTCATCTCAATTTTTTTTTTTAAATGTGAAAACAATAAACATTTAATTGTTCCACTCATACCATATGCCACTCATTATCATTATTCCTAAAACATAATTTTAGATATTCCAATTGAAAGTTTAAAATAATAATAATAATAATAAAACTGAAAAAACAAAAACAATTCTTACAAATATTTAACTCAGTGACATAATATAGCTGAGCAATATAAACAACTACTGATACTAGAATAATTACCAATAATTTGAAGAGCAAAAATAAATAAATTCTAAAAAAGAATAACTTGAATAAAAAAATTATAACGTCCACATCGAGGTACGTAGCTTTACTTATGCCCTTATATCCTTAGTTGAATTTTGTTAAAGTTATTTTGAAAAAAAATGTGAAGAAAATCCCTTAAATTTCATTAGGGGTAAAATGATCTTTTCACTCAAAATTAGTTGAAAATGTGGGGAGTGAAAACATATAGAATTTCGAATCGATTAAGACAATCCTGAAACACCCAGTTCATTAAGTCCATAAAGACTGTTGGGGCATTGGTTAACCTAAAAGGCATCACCACAAACTCATAATGCCCATATCTGGTCTGAAAAGCAGTCTTAGCAATATCTGGCTCTGCAACCCTTACTTGGTGATAACGCGACCTTAAATCAATCTTTGAAAACACGGCTGCTCCTTTTAGCTGATCAAACAAATCATCTATGCGAGGTAATGGGTATTTATTCTTTACTGTCACATTATTTAACTCTCTGTAATTTATACACATCCGTAGAGATCTATCTTTCTTCACAAATAAAATTGGAGCACCCCAAGGAGAATGGCTAGGTCGAATAAAACCCTTGTCTAAGAGTTCCTGAAGTTGTTTTTTCAATTCCTGAAGCTCGGTTGGGGCCATCCGATATGGGGCTTTAGAAATTGGTGCGGTCCCTGGTGCCAATTCAATACTGAATTCTACTTCTCTTTCCGGAGGTAAACCCGACAAAACTTCCGAAAATACATCTAAAAACTCTTGGACTACTGGCACATTATGAATCTCTAGTTGTGGGACATCACTACTGTGCACTACATGAGCAATATACCCCGAACATTCTTTTCTTAGCATCTTTCTGGCCTTTACACTGCTAATTAACATACTAAGATGGCGACCCTCACCAAAATTAAACGTATCTCCATCATCAAGATTAAATCTTGCTTTCTTCTTCCGACAATCAATCTCTACTCCAAATCTCCTCAGGAAATCCATACCCAAAATAACATCAAAATTGGGCATATCAAACACTATCAAATCCACTGGCAACTCCTTTTCATGGATCACTACAGACTCCCCTGGAAGCATCTCTTGAGTTACTACACTAACACCATATGGTAACTCTATCTTAATAGGACAATCCACTCTATCTCAATCAATGCATAAAAGGGAACTGAATGAAATAATAACTGACTAGTAACTGCGGATGGGCTAGCTTCAGCTTCACTTTGAGCTACTGTAAACACTCGAACAATAGTACCTCTCGGTGTCTGCACTACGGGTGCAGGAGGGGCTTTGCAATCTTTCATCATATGCCCTAGCTGCCGGCATCTATAGCATACATTTCGGCCCAAATCTCTAAGACACTCCCTAGAATGATTTCTTCCACACTTTTGGCACTGGGGAACTTCACTAGTTCTTGGCCTTTTATTTTGCCAATCCCTTCTGTTCTTCTTAGGTTGAAATCTTTTCTTATTTCTTACCTCTCTATTAGTGGGGGCATCAGCTCTATCTCTCTGTGGAACAGGAGATGGAACACTAGGGGCTACTGTTGATGGAGTTGTTGGGGTTAGCTTATTCACAAATATTTCTGCCCATAAAGCTCGTTCCAAAGCTTCACTATATGTCTGGGGGGCCTGGGCACCGGCCATCACATTTCCGGCTAGTTCTGGTTTCAGCCCATGCACGAACTTATCCCTTCTCAATTCTGGTGTACTCACTACACCTGGCACAAACCTTGCCAGGGAATTGAATTTCACTGAATATTCTTTCACTGAACTAGTCCCTTGTTGCAAACTGATAAACTCTTGAATCTTTTCATGAACTCGATCAACTATTCTATATTCTGCCTCAAACAATCTTCTGAAATCTCCCTAGGTCATCGAGGCTATATCATGAGTATCCTCCATCAATTCCCACCATATACGGGCATTACCCCTAAATAGGAAATTGGCATACTAAATCTTCTCCCGGTCTGTCATAGGGAAAAGTGTCGTCGTAAGCTCCACTGATCTAAACCACTTTGTTAGAGTAGATGCCCTAGAGCCAATCAATTATTGTAGAATTGACTCTTTGTAATAATGTTCATTAATCAATAAAAGGCATTTTATTCTATATCGCGTAAATCATTATTATTGCAATATGTATTGATATATGTCCTTAGAGTGGTAGAACTGTGACGAGGGTATCAAGTGTTTCAAATCTTGATAGTGAGAACCCTATGAGCACATATGGTGGCCATTCTAGAAACGTCCGTAGCCCCAGTATTATTCTGAAGTAAGGGCACAGATAATACGGTAAGGCTATCATAGTGTTGAACGACCCTGTCGAAAGGCAGTGACTGATCTCACTTGTCAAGGTTGTTTGGTGACAACCTGGTGCAACACATGGGTGCTTGTTGTAGGCGATTACACCACAGCAAGTTCACTGGACTGACCCACCAGAGGATTCCATATGGATGGTAACCCCAGTGTCTATGGAACAAATCCTCTAACGAATGGTGGTGCATGTGATCCTTAGACTTGAGATCACCGGAGCGCCTTGTGCACCGATTGGTGTAGTTTGACACTAGCCTAACGCAGTTCTTTTCAGAGCTGTCAATACGGTGGTGATTGGCTGCATCAAGGAGTGTATCAAGACTATGGTGGATTGACAGAGGATTTATCACTCCCGGGTACGGGAGAAAGTTATCTCACGGCGCAATTCAGTATATGGCAATGACACTAAAACTGTGGCCACAGTGGGATTGAGTTGTTGCTCTATCCAGTTTATAATACGGGTCATTGGTCCAGAAACTGAATAAATAATATCGAGAGTAACCGAAGGTTGACACTATTTCTATGCCTTCGTCTCGTCGAGATAAAGTATGATGAAAGGATCGAATTGCATGATAACCATATCGTTGACAGGTAGCTACTTTGCTGAATCCGAATCTATCAGGTGGCCATGATGTCTTGCTAGGGGCCAATCTTGGTCTGTGTACAGTGAGACGATTAATTGGTGTTAATCACGATACTATATACTGCCGGTATGATGAGGAGCCTATGGGTCACACACATAGAAGATAATTTAAGATCCAAGAAGAAAGAAGGGCGTTTTCGTCTTTTAAGGCGAAAGGGTATTTTGGTAATTTCACAGTGCAATTAAATTTGCTGAGGTGGTAGCCTTTATTTAATTTGTTAGAAAAATTAAATAAGTGAAATTACGTTTACATGTGTGTTCGCACATATTTAAATATACTATCATTATTGTTAAATGTTAATATATATTTAAATATATATTAATTGATTTTAATTGAGATAATGATGGAAAATAAAATAAATCAAATTGGGAGTGTTTGGCAATATGGGGCGTTTAGGTTGGAGCCCAAGCCTATTCCGTATGGGATTAGG